CATGAGGGCGACCTGTAGTGAGGCTCTGGACACTGATGAAAGGCCAGCATTAGGGAAACGCTCTGTAGATTTTCTCCCTTTCCCTTTGAATGGTGCCTGATGAGTCGCCAGATGCCAGTCTGAGCACTGCTTCTTTTTTAGATCATGCCTACTCACAGACTGGAATGATGTATGCGTAAGTAAGAACCTATCATGCTAAAATCACTTTTATAGAGGGTTTAAATACAGTTTTGTGGCAACAGTGTGTGAATATAGCCAGCCTCTTATGGTAAAAATTGGTTAATCCTAGCAGGATCTCATTTGAATTTAAAGCAACAGTGACCAAAACCAGCATAATTAGGATCAAAGCATAAAAGCGACAGTTTCAAAGAGTTCTATAAAATATTTGTGGGGTATTTTGAGCTGAAATTTTGCATATACACTCCAGGGACATCGGAGACTTTTTTTTTTTTACATGTTGTAAAAAGTGGCATAATAGGTCCCCCTTAACTAATGTAGTGTCTTGACCTTAGTTAATAATAATAGTAATAATAATAATCATAAACTTTATTTTATATAGTGCATTTAAAAATAGCATCTAAAACGACTTTACATATAAAAAAAAGTATAAAGAAAAAGATACATATAAGGATACATGCATAAAAAACAAATAACATTTATGTATAAAGCACATTTAAACACAACAAAATTGATACAAAGTGCTGTACAAATATACAAACAGATCCAGGCTATTGAACAACCATATATACACACACATAAAAGATAAAAAATAAAAACCATTTAAATAGCTTTTCTTTTAAGCAATCATAATACAAAAAAATTAATATTTGATATCACATTTTTTTTCTAAACCACATAAGCTACCCTAAAAAAAAGTTGTAAGTAATTATCTAAAAACACTTAGGATTTTAAATTCTTAATATTAAAGACGTCGGAGGATTCCACAATTTAGGTGCCAGTGAAGAGAATGCTCAATCCTCCATAGATTTTACCCGCATTGATAAAACTTTTAAAATACCAACATCAGATGAGTGTAAAGCATGCACAGAGGTATAAGAGATAAAAAGCTCAGACCAATATTGCGAGGTAAGACCATTCAAGTCCTTATAACTTAGATAGTTAGATTGGTTGGTTGGTTGGTTGGTTTATCTCTGTCCGTCGGATGGATGGATGAATGGATGGATGGATGGATGGTTGGTGGTTGGTTGGTTGGTTGGTTGTTTAGTTTATCTGTCTGTCAGATAGATGGCTAGATGGTTGGTTGATTGGTTTATCTGTCCATCTGTTGGATGGATGGGATGGTTGGTTGGTTTGTCTGTCATAGATAGATAGATAGATAGATAGATAGACAGACAGACAGACAGACAGACAGACAGACAGACAGACAGACAGACAGACAGACAGACAGACAGACAGACAGACAGATAGATAGATAGATAGATAGATTTATGATTTTTTTGTATTGACATTATTTTATTATATAGGTTATCTTTATTATTTTTAATTGAGTTAAAGGTTTTTTCATGAACATCATGTAAAAGTAAACCTCAAGCCTGTTTGCAGTCTGACCTCTTACATCTCTAACCTCATACTGTCTGACCTCTATTAGCCAGACAGTACAGTACAGCACGCGTGAGCAGCTGCACGATTCATAATCTAATCAAGAGCTGGTTCACTGTACACCTCTCAGTTAGAATGAAAGTCTTCAAGGTGACCGTCATGCTTTTCCTCCAAGGTTTCTCCTTTATAAGATGCTGTGGCTACATCAAGGTCATTCAGAAGCTAGTAACGCTATTTGCCATTGCATTAAAAGCTTTTTCCTTGTCCAACATCCCTTTCTGTTTCACAGTAGCCGTGTCTTAAATACTCCATCATCGATCTTTGATTTCCGTATCATCACTGGACTCTTGTCAAATTATAGCTCCTGGGCTTCAGATTTCCATATCTGTCAGCATGTAAAGATTGTGAACGTGGTTTAGCTGAGCTGTTTGTTGTGTATGCCATTGATCAGTTCAGTGAAATGAAGGAACATGGATGGATCAATGGAGTTTTATCTTAATGTGTAATGAGTTTTTTTGAATTAAGCTATCAAAGTCCCAATGAAAGATTCTGACCTGTCAAACCTAGTTTAGATTTAATATGCCCTTGACAAATTTGGGGGGAAAGACCTTCATGCAACTGTCAATTTTGAGATTTTGGGCTTTTTGGTTTTTCATAAACCACTGTTGTTTATTTTGTTGTTTTTGTTAATAATAAAAAAGATCCTTAATTCACTTTTAAGTGTTTCTTTTGTCTAGATTTCCATTATAATGCAGATTTTTAAAGGTATTTTTCTCAAAATTAGTAATTATTTTCATAAATCTTCACTTTGACACCTTCAAATACACCAAAGTGTACAGTTGTATTTATATCTTTATTGTGAATGTTTTTATAGATGGATATTAATGAATTGATTAATGATATACTTTTGTTTTCTACAAAATATTTTGAAAATTATTTCTGAATTATTGTAATATAATTATTATTGTTTGTTTTTCTCAATTATTGTTATAATAATTGATAAACTGAAACATTAACCCCAGTATGTTAAAGAATAAAAGTCTAAACAAGATTATTACTCTATTCAATCTTCAGATTTTTGTGCTAGAAAGGTTAGTTAATATTCCTAATCAATCAAACCGGGGGAGTATGAAGATAACCATTAGATAAATTCCTTACCTTATCATCTTACTTTATGGATCTGAATTTAAATTTGGATTTGTTTTGGTGCATATGCTATTTATTCATAAGCTATGCAATCACCATGCTTTCATATCACAGTCTGTCTTTGTGCGAGTGTAAATGTATTCATAAATTTTCCACTGGATGCATCAACAGGAACTTTTTTTCAAAGGCCTCCAAATAAATAAATAAAAACATCAACAATAAGCCCTCTAACACTTCCTGTTTTGCAGATGAGGCATAAAATCAGCTTTTAATGGACTGGAGCAGCTATTATCAGACAGGCAGACCATGTTTATTTTGACCTCTCTTATATCTCTCCTCTCTTTCCTCATGTAGAAGGTGTGACACTCTCACTTTATCCATTTGTCGAAGTTTAATGTCGCTTCTACGGTCCTAAAGCTTTTAATTAGGCCTCTCACATGGCAGTGGTGTCTCCCGATGCACCCATAAAGAGCTCCAGCGGAGTATAAAGAAAACCGAGATGAGCTTTCATAGTGCAAAAGGTCACCGATACACAGATTTTCAACCACACATACATTCGACAGCTGTGGTTTTAATAGGAATGGCTACTGAAGCTTGCTGTGCCTTGTTAAAGACTCACATGGGATAGTTCGGAAAATACTTTTTAAGACAGGAGAAAAGTTGTTAGAAGTATGAAACATCTCCAGAAACCATCTGCTGGAGTGTAAGACTTGCCAATATATTGCCTGGTTTTCTTTGATTCCATATTGTGAAGTTCTCTCACGGTTTTCCATCAATGAAGTCCTAACTAATGGTCCACTGTGGTTTGAAAGTGCCAGCTTATCATCCCCATATCGAGTGTTTTGTCCCTGTATGCCCACCAGCAGCACCTACATTGAATTTTGATAGCATGAAAGCTGAAGAACCCTCAAAAAGTCTCTTCGTCTATTGAAGTATTTTGAGATTCATGAGAAGCATCTGGCTTGGATGATTATCAAATGTTCTTGGTGCTCAAGAGTCCAGTCACTGCTTTTCCTTGAAGTCCTGTCCCCAACCCCCCCTCCTTAAAGATTTAAGGCAGGTAGGAGCAAACTGAGACTTCCACTTGTGCTGCAGGATAAAGCAGGCCTAGTTGGGAGCCTGTGTTAGGTCAATGCAGGGCCATTTTGACCAGACTAATATGTTTCAGTTCAAAACGCTTGTGGCGATTAAATCCCGCAGGTTTCTGCTCTCTCTTTCTCTCAACCTTTTACCGCCGTGTGGACATGAATCGATTACGTGAGCTCTGTAAGTCTTGATGTAATATCACCTGAGCCGTGAGCCGTAAAAGATTCAATTCCAATCTCCACTCAAACTGGAAAATCTCTAGCGCCTGAAACGCATCAGCCTTTTACTTTTTCATTCATTTCAGCGAAAATTAAAATGAGTCTACTCAAACTCAGCCATCCAAAGGGCTCTTGATTTTCGTGTCCAGTGCGGATCTTTAACAGAAACTCTTAACCAGCGGTGTCCAAACTCAGTCCTGGAGGGCTGGTGCCCTGAATATTTTAGTTCTAACTCCAATTAAACACACCTGAACCAGCTAATCAGGCTCTTTCTAGGTATACTAAAAACTAAAAAGGAAATTGGAGCTAAACTATACACCAGCCCTCCCGGACCAAGTTTGGAATCCCCAGCTCTAAACCATAGGTCTCATACTCGATTCCTGGATGGCCATTAGCCATATAATAAGCAAGGGAGATCTCGAGACCTACCTGAGCTCAAACTCCCCTCTCGCCTTACAAACAGGAGGGAGCCCCGAGCTCGAGGACCTTATGAGCTCAGGGCTCTCTCCCAGGACAGCATTCCAAACATGCTATATAATCAATCAACAGCTAAGTGTTAACTCTTGAACTTGACCCTAACTCTCTCTAAATATCAAGTTTGGGGTGTGAGGTAAAAAATGCATTCCTGCCCCCACCAACCCATTACCCACCCACTGGGCTTTACAGAATTGTGCATCCAGGGTTCGAATAAATAGACTGGCCTCAAATTTACAAGCACTCCTTACGATCACGTAATATGCAATTTCTCATCACACTAGGCTCAGTTCCAGGATAAGATCCCAAGTACATTGTTGAAAAGAAAAACAGCTTGCTCTTTCAGCCTTAGGGCTTTTCAGATTGCATGTCAATATTGTTTACTATCCTCTGCCTGACATATAGACACTCATGTAAACAAAGCCTTTATCGTTCTCCTCTAGAAATATAATTGCTTTTGTGTGTCCAGTCTTATTCCCTATCTGACATGTCCTTTTCACCCTTGTTTGTGTTTAGAGGTGATCAGGCAGAGGTACGCGGACCTGCCAGGAGAGCTGTTGATCGTGGAACTGGAGAAAGATCGCAATGGTTTGGGCCTCAGTCTGGCTGGGAACAGGGATCGTTCCTGTATGAGCATCTTCGTGGTGGGAATCACCACTGGTGGGCCGGCCAGCCGCGATGGACGCATCAAAGTGGGCGACGAGCTGTTGGAGGTAAATGTGCCAACCAGATGGATAGAATGGGGTTGTTTAACAACGGTTTTTTCTGTCAGTTTGTTTGTGGTTATATGGTAGGTGGCGCTGTTATGGATTTTCTGAAATAGAACAGATTCAATACATAATGGGTGAGGGCTCAGGATTTAGAAAAGGTCTATCCCTCTTGCTTTCATTTTGTATTTCTCAAGGTAATAGCCTTTTCCTGTCAAGGCCCTTGTAATCCAAGGGGAAAATGGTGTCTTCCATCCATTTCATTCTCATTCTGGTCTAATGCAGAATCAATCATGGGTTGTCTGGGACAGTGTCATAAAGGCAAAATCATTTTAAATCTTGAGGGACGTGCTGGACAGGCTCAGTGCTCAGAGTGTGGATCATCTGTGTTTTTGTCTCTCTCTATCGGTTTATGTCTGTGCCTGAGTTATTAATCTGCAAACGAGAGGTGTAAGGTTTTCCCTCAGATGGCTGGATGAATTTTAAATGAAGCCACCTGCCTTCAGTTTCCCTATCTCTGTTCTTGCTTATCACTTTCTTAGCCTCACTCTCCTCTGCGTTTTATCTCTCCAAGTGTTCCCTAAAGTCCATAGCGAACCGCAATCTCACTACAGGATGCAAATATTGATACGGCAAAGTACAAGATAATTCACATGCGCAGTTTTAATTCTTTAGTTGATATGAGTTCTGAATGTACTCAGCTGCTTCTCCATATTTGCTACATCCTATAATAAATAGGATCTATTTCCTGACCCTGATCTTTTCCTGTCTGGATTTTGATTTCCAGGTTTGTCTCCTCCTCGGAATTGGCTATCGATTTAGCAATTTGGTAGACGTATACAATGCCGTATTTTGGTGTGGAGTTTGCAGCCTTGTGCAGCTGACCTTTGTCTAATATCTATCTTCATTAGATGTGAACACACTGCCACATTAGTCACGTTCCACTAGCCTTGGCTAATGGTTCTGCCACAGGTGATTGGAGACACAAGTCAACCAGGCTCAAATATGTGTTCGCACACCCAGATGCAGTTGGTGTTACCCAGATGACAAACATGGTATGCTGTCGTACAGGGCCGGAGTGGGACTCCTTTTCAGCCCTGGAGTTTCAAGCATTAGACCGGCCTACCTCAGTTCACCACTGACTATATTAAAATAAGGTCATTTCCAATTCAGTTTCTAATTACGCTATCACGTCTTTTTCAAGAAAACAGCTGCTTTAGAACTTTAAATGTTCAACAACCTTACAGTTTTATATGTCTTAACAATAAAAATGAAAAAAAAAAAAGAATTACTCAGGTGAGGATCGAAGATGGATCGACGATGTCGTAACGCAACATGCTGAACAATGGACCACAATGGCGCTGTTACACTTGTGTGGCCGAAATGATATTTACATCATCATTACCCTGCAGGCTGCATTTTGCTCATGGGGCTGCGAGACAATAAATAAGTAGAGCGGAGCTGCGGCAAACTATTGAATAAAAAGAGTGAGGCTATGGTCAAATAAATAAATGAAAAAAAAGTGCGACTGCTAAGAGTGCAAGCAGCTAGAAACACCGGCCAGCATCTAATCCTATTACAACAGTCTTAAATAGTGAAACCAAAGGGCTTCTATGAAGGAAAATGAATGTGAACCCCTTCAATATGCCTAGGTTACAAACTTTCCTTCTTCCCTTCTTAGACTTTACAGACCTGAAACTTGCCTATAGCACTTATTCATTGTTGCTCTTAGTTGTGTAAATTGCTTCCTTGTCCTCATTTGTAAGTCGCTTTGGATAAAAGCGTCTGCTAAATGTAAATGTAAATGTACAAACTTTCCCAAAATTAAACTCTCCTCAAAACTTGGTTTCATGGAGGAAGTAGTTTGTGAAAAAGTATAAAAAGCACTTTTTTTATTTATTAAAGGTGCTTTGCACTGCATGGTTTGGTTTGGTACAACTCACTTTTGGGGGCTTTTTCATTCTGTTTATCTACTTATTTCAAATGAAACGAAACAACATGTTTTTTTTTTTTTAAGTTTTTTGGAGGGTTAACTTTATTGATTTATGTTAAATCTACTTAAATTAAAAAATAATAAGTTAACTTAACAAAAAACACAAGTCACACCTGCTTAATGGTCTCTAGTAGTCTTAAACACCTTGATTAGTTGGATCAGCTGTGTTTGATTAGGGGAATTATATATTTTTTCTTTTCGAGTGCCTTGAATTTATGATTTCGAAGTATGTGAACCTTTTCATTTTAGCCAGTTTACAATCATTGCTAAGACTAATATTACAAAAAATATTTACCACTCCTTTTTAGGGATGTGTCACAGTTCTCATAAAATGTCCCCAATGTTGGCATATTTGTACAGTTTTCTTTGATTTTGAAGTCTTTGTTTATGCTCATTATTTTGTTCTTCCATCAGATAAACAGCCAGGTGTTGTATGGCAGGAGCCACCAGAATGCATCGGCCATAATAAAAAGTGCTGCGTCAAAGGTCAAACTCGTCCTGGTCAGGTGAGAGACCCTCAGAGGCGACCCTCAGTCTGCTGTTTTCACAAACTACCATCTGTTCATTAGTAAAGAAAAATAAAATGAGTCTCATTTCAGCTGTTATGAAGTCTTTAATTCGTTAAAAATAATGAGATCATGAATTTATTATAATGTCAATTTTACCTCTGAAATATTTAAAAGTGTGTGAAATTCAACTTATTCAAGAATAATATTGTAATGAATTAGTAATTCTGGTGCAAGTCTAATGCTGAAAAATTGAGAACTTGAGTCTTGAGTTTGAAACAATTGATGATTTTTTTTCTCCTTGCAATTATTCAAACCAAGCATTATCATTCTCAAAAAAAAGCTTTAGCGTCTGAAATTGATGAACTGGTTGCACTTTTATTTGGTTTTGTTTATTTGGTTGATTAGTCTTTGTGGGTTTGTTTGTTTAATTGATTTTGTTTGGGTTTGGGTTTAATTTTTTGTTATGTTTGTGTTTTACTTTTATTGGTTTGTTGTTTTTAATTTGTTTAGGGTCTTGATTTACTTTGCTTTTGTTTGTTTTAGATAGTTTTTGTTTTTTTAGACAAGATTATTTTGGTTTGATTTGCATTTTGTTGTTTAGTTTAATTTAGTTTTTTTGGCATTTTATTTAAAATAAAATAAAAGGTTTATTTTCATTGTGTTGTTGTTTTTTTATTTTTTGAGATTTTGATTTGTTTTATTGTTTAGGGTTTTGTTTGGTTTTACTTTGCTTTCTGTGATTTGTATTTTTTTAGTTTCTTTTGGGTTTTTAGTGGTAGATGACACGATCATTTTAGTTTGTTTTTGTTTGATTATTTTTATTTTTTTTCTATTCTAATTTTTTTGTGTGGGATTTTTTGGTTTTGCTTAGCATTGTGTGGTTTGGGTTTTGTTAATTTATTGGGTTTAATGGTGTTTGCTTTGCTTTGTATTGTGTTTAATTTTGTTTTGATTTGCCTTGCGGTTTGCTTATTTTTGGTTTGGTTTTGTTTTTCGGTTTTTGATGGATTTTTGTTTTATATTTTGCTTTATGTCATTAGTTTTAATATAGTTTGGGATTGTGTTTTCATTTATTTTTCGTTATTGTTTTTTATTGTTTATGTCGGGATTTTGGCAAGATGGTGGCTCAGTGGTTAGCACAGCAAAAAGGTCGCTAGTTCGAGTCCCGGCCGGGTCAGCTGGCATTTCTGTGTGGAGTTTGCATGTTCTCCCGTGTTCCGGTTTCCTCATGGGTGCTCCGGTTTCTGTCACAGTTCAAAGACATGCGCTCTAGGTGAAGTGAATAAACTAAATTGGCCGAAGTGTACAGTATGTCTGTGAATGAGTGTGTATGAATGTTTCCCAGTAATGGGTTGCAGCTGAATAAGCATCTGCTACGTAAAACATATGCTGGATAAGTTGGCAGTTCATTACACTGTGGCAACCCCTGATTAATAAAGGGACTAAGCCGAAGAAAAAATGAATGAATAAATGTCAGTAATTTCTTTTGTTTTGTGGTTTGGTTCCTTCAAGTTGTTTATTATCACTGTATACATCAATATAAGAAAACCTTCAAAATCTCTCATGTTATAATTCATGTTACATGCCACTTTGAAGATGGGAGTGATCATTCTAATACACTAAACCAAACACATCCTGTCATTTTTCTGTATATCGGCAAACCTTACACAAGCAAGAACATATGAGTGGCATAGACACATTTGATGTGATGCTCGATGGCATTTTAATAGCAGAATTTCTAGAGTCATCATGTCATCCCATCCAGAGAGTGATATGGTATAATAAACTGGAGCTGGTATCACTATCCAGCGTCTTTTCGATAGCAAAGAGGGCTTTTGCAATACATCAGTCCATCTTGTCATTACAGGCATAATCAGACATTATGCTCATATCTTGCATTTTCATATAAGTATGTGTTTGCATGACCTTTACTCGACTGACTATTCTGACAGTTTAGCTGATAAAGCTGCGTAAAGACACCGATATCTCCTCGCTATCTACAGCTAATTATGAGACTGTGACAGCTCAGTTTACGGCTATCAAAACAAATGTTGATGTGCTACTGAATATTAATAGACTCGCTTTAATGAACCCGCAGTTTGCGCTGCCATCAATCCCGCCCGATGTGATTCCTGTCATTTTTTTATAATTCACACTGTTCCAAAAGCCCTTGTACATGATTTGTGTTTTGTCAAAAGTCATTTGTCAATACATGATGAAATGTCATCGAGAAAGTCATGTTGCTGGACAGCGGTCAAGATTGATGTGAGTGGCAAAATGTCACTGATTCTGATTTTAGCGTGTGGATTTTGGACCCAGACTTTGTTTCTGTGACCCTAGTTTGTTAAATGTTTGTATTTTCAAACTTCTTTTAGAAACCTTAAAGGTGGATTGTTGTTGTTTTTTTTTTTTGTTTTTTTTTCCTAAATTCTGCATTAAACATACCTATCGTAACCCTTCAACAAACCATTATTATCTCGATTTGGCTTTGTGGTTTGGGTTCTGTTTTGTGTGTGTGTTTTTGTTATTTATTTTATTTTTTTGCTAGTTTTTGTTTTGCTAAGCATTTTGTGTTTGGTTTAAGTTTTGTTAAATTTCTTGTTTGTTTTAAATTTTGCGTTTGAATTTTTTATTTTATTTTTGTCTTGTTTAGCTTTGTACTTTGCTGTGCTGTTGGTTTGGCTTTTGGCTTTGCGGTTTGGGTTATGTTTTGTGTGTGCGTGCGTGTGTTTTTGTTTGTTTTTTCATTTTTGGTTTGATTTTTGGTTTTGCTTAATATTTTGTGGTTTGGTTACAATTTTGGTAAATTATTAGTTTGTTTTGCATTTTAGGGTGCTTTCACACCTGTACATCGATTCATTTGTTCCAAAACAGGGATTAAAATTGTTACAGTGTTGCTCTTTGTTCTTGGTGCGGTTCACTTACATATGGCAAAGATTCTAAACGGACTAAAACAGCTAAAGAAAGTCATGTGTGATTTAACTCTCCTTACATTGGTCAGAGTTTCATGGTTTGTTTTGCAGAGTCCCGCTCAGCTGTCATGCATCTTTACTTTAATTTATGGCAATGCGCAATAAGACATTATAAGCGGAAATCTGCGCTTTAATTTTGAATGTTGACACCCACAGACATCATCACCAAATATAAATCAGAGGTAAGACTCTCTCATACAGAGCCCTTAGCTAGACTGCAGTTCGGTTAATGTTCCTAACAGATAAACAGTCTCGGTAATACTTCAGCATGCTTTCACTTTCGTTTATTTCGTTTATTTATTTCATTTAACATCAAACGCACATTTACCAGTAGGAATGACATCTGGCCTTACTCATAATTCCCTCTTCATATATCCATATATGCCTATGCCTATCCTTAATGCACTGTGATATAGCCGGGCTCGGATCGTTTTGCTTTCTCACTACAATCGATCCGCTCCAGAGTTTGTTTCAATCAAGCCGAGAACACTTCATTCAGGCAATCTTGAACCTATTGAAGTGGCACAGAACCGAGCGCGATTGCTGGTTTCACGTATGCCAAACAAACCATATGGCAAACGAGACAGGTTCCGAAACAAAAATCTAGGTATGAAAGCACCCGTACTTTTGATGTTTTATTCTTTCTTTGTCTTCTGTTTAGCTTTCAATTTTGCTTTGATGTTGGTTTGTTTTGATTGATTTCTGTTTTATTTAGTTACTTTTTTTTTACTAATTACTTTTTGTGTTTTTCTTTTAGTTTTTTATTTTGGTATTAAGCGAAACATTGTTTTGTGTGTGTGTGTGTGTGCGTGTGTGTGTGTGTGTGTGTGCGTGTGCGTGTCATTTTTCTGTCTATTTCTGATTTTTTTAGTTTGTTTTTTAGTTTTTTTTTTCTTAGCATCTAGATTTTTGTATTATTGTTTTTTATTTGTTTTGTTTGTGCTTGATTTGCATTTTTGTTTTGGGTTTTATTTCGATTTTTGCCTTTTTCTGATTTTTGTTTAACTGTAGATTAGTTTTTTTTTTTTTTTTTTTTTTGCTTTGTATTTTATTTTGTGGATTAGTTTTTGTTGGATTAAGACAAATGAAAAAACAATTTGGTGTTAAGCAAACAGATTTGGGAGCCAGACTTGGCCTCCCAGACCCAAGTAGGCATTTTGGATTACAGTTCAGACAGGGTTGATTGGAAGCAAGCCTAAGGATTGATTGTTTCATAAATTCTGATCACCTGCGTCAACCTTACCTTGACCAAAAAAAAAAAACACATTAACAGTAATTGGAAACGGGTCATTTAGTGTGCGAGACAATAATAATGTCAAGGTGAGCAGGAGGAGGGTGACATTACTCATCAATATAAGATCTTGAGGAAGAGGCTCAGAGGAATTTTATTTATATATTTGTGGTAAAAAGTTGTTCAGAGATATAATCATTCAATCTCTTTTTGTCTGTTGTAGGAACGAAGATGCCATCAATCAAATGGCTGTTACTCCTTTTCCTTCTCAACCTGCCCTGTTCTCCTCCAGTGAGGTACAGTAAATTAGAAATAGTCTGATATTTTGGTTGCTTTGGATTGTTCTTGAAGGTGACAGAACTAATTTTTTACTGTTATTTAGAAATTCAGACTATAAATGCAGACAATAATGTAATGGTTTACATTATATAGCACAGTTTTTAACTATATAGTTATGGATAATTCTACATATATTAGATATACATATATTATCCATGTGCACATCATATTGTATTCATATCTATATATGGTCATTTTAATACACTTTGACATTATTGCAAACTAATTAATTTTTACAGTCAGGTCATATTACTTTAAATATTTTATCTGTTCATTTAAATTGTTTTAATTTTGTTTTATCATTTATTTGTTTTATTAAAAATGGTTGTTTAAAAATTGTATAAATAAAAATTATAAAATTTATTGTTTTATTTATTACTGAAGAAAAAAAATATTTCATTAATATTGACAGCTACAATTAGATTTTTAACATCTATTTTCGTCTTAGATTGCTCTTTTTATTATGCAAAGAGCTACACAAATGACATGGACTCAAATAAAAATGAAAACAGAGTAAAACAAATAACATAAAAAAACAGTCAGGTACAGCCATGTGTGCATGTAAAAGTAACTGGGTGGACAGGTCAAAGTATTGAAATTTAAGCATTATAACATTTTCTTTTTTTGTTGTTGTAAAATATGTACATTCTATATGGCATTTACACACGTGTACATTGGATAATTTGCATGCAAGCACAGATCTGCTAAAATGTAGTTGAACTGACCCCAGAGCTGTTGTTTCAGACACATGAAAACCCTCCAGCAGTTCCAGCAGAGAAGCCGCAGTTACCCGAAAGCCTTCCTCTGAGCAGAAGCCCCCCTGAGAACACGCTCAACAAGGTGAATCAATACTTGAAAAACACACTCGCCCTTCATCTGTGACCCGGGATGCGCATTTAAATTTGCTTGTTAAGTTGTGACGTATGGAAAACTGCTTCTGGCCCTTTACTCCCACCCTTTACTCATTTCAACTGAGAAAACTCTGTCAGTATCCGACTGTGGCCACTGTTTATCCTACCACACATCACAGCCTTCACTATAGTCTTTTTAGTCTCAAATAAAAGTTTTCTTTTATACCTGTGATTCAGAATTTCAATTATTAACATCTTTACTCCAGTCTTCATGGTCACATGAACCTTCGGATTTCATTATAATATGATGATTTGGTGCTCGATAAATATTTCTTATAATTATTATCATCTGTGTTAAAAACGGCTGTGCTGCTTCATATTTTTGTGGAAACTGATACAGAACCATGTTTACTTTATTCATGAAGGAAACCACTATGTTTAAATAATAAAGATTAAAATTCCATCATGAACACTCTCAGGATTTAGTATAATAATGAATATGAATATGGAAATGTTGATTTATTTGGTCTTTACCGTATAGATCTGCTATGCTGCTGCTGCTTTGATTATTGTGGCAGAGCAAGTACCGAGACCTGCTACTGCCAGTATATACTGCGTGGGCCAATTATATGGAGACACCTTAATAAAATGGGAATCATTGGTGATATTAACGTCCTGTTTGTGGCACATTGGTATATGTGAGGAAGCAAACTTTTCAAGATGGGTGGTGACCATGGTGGCCATTTTGAAGTCAGTCATCTTGGATCTAACTTTTGTTTTTTCAAGAGAAAGAGGGTCATTTAACACGTCAAGCCTAATGAGACTTTCACAAAAAAAAACAATGGTGTGCTTGGTAATAATGTAACTTTATTCTTTCATGAGTTTTTTTTTACAAGTTTCTGACTACTTATAAAATGTGTTTAATTTGCTGCCCATTGTGTAACTCTGAAATTTCATTCATTATGGTCTTTAAAAAGCCTTAAAGTCTTAAATTTGACTTGATGAAGCCTGATGAAACCCTGACCTATACAGCATGTCTTTAGGCTGTGGAGGAAACCAGGGGGAGGAAACCTATGCAAACACTGAGAGTACATACAGTACAAACTCTACACAATAATGCCAACTGGCCCAGACGGGACTCGAACCAGTGACCTACTTGCTGTGAGGCGACAGTGATAATTACTTTGCCACCATACCTTCCCTTTATATAGAGTCTGAATATATATATATATCAGAAGCCAGCATTTCAAACTTTTCAACAGAGATGATGCAAGAGTGCAGCAACCCATTGCCATCATTAGGAAAACAATAATAAGAGCTGGCTCTTTCTGACTCTCTCATCTGCATGTGTGTTTTTGTCATAAACGTGGATGCGTGAGGGTAAAAAGCTCTCAGGCTGCAGCTTCTCTGTGTCCTTGATAGAGGCAATGAGTGTGGTGCGGTTTTGACCCAGTTGAAGCTCTGCAGGGAGTTTTTAGGCCTGCTGCTTTATTTGATCTGTTTGTTTGACTCCTCATACAGGATCAGGCCTGCGTGACGGCGACCGCAAGCTCAGATCCCACACACAAGAGCCTCACAGATGGAGAATCGGCCGTAAAGGTAAGCCAATGTGGTCTGAATGACGTATTATTTTTTGCTGAACGTTTACTAGGTTATTATTTTATATGCATGAAATTTTATTTATTTACTTTTATTTTTAATATTTTTATACATTTTTCAGTGAATATAGGCCATATATTTTGTGCATTTTAATGAAATTTGATTTAATTGATAAAAATTGATTTAATAAACAAATATATTTATGCAAATAATATTTTAGTCACCGAACATTATAGATAGATAAAACATTTAAATTCATGTGAAATATTGGGGAAAAAAAGACAAACTACAAAATTTCAGCAAATTCGATCTTTCTAAATTTTTTATTTAATATTTTTCCCTAGCATAAAATATTTGGGTGTACTAATTTTGGACAGTTATCCTAAGTTATTTTGTTAGATTAGCTCCATATTTAGCCCCAGTATTGACTAATCTAATGTTTGTGTCAGGGTTAGGTGATGGGAAGGATGAGGTGAGGACACAAATAACCAAGGATTTTATTATATAAAAGAAACAAAAACAACTAAAACAGCCCAGTGGGTGGAAAACACAGCAACATAACAAAGCTGACTTTACTCGGCTTGGCTTGATAGACACAGAAACAGCAACGAACACTGGGAGCAAAAATAGGGAAAGCAAACCAATACACTGAAAAGTGGGCAGGTAAACATAATAATAAATTATAGGATAACAAGTTGGGTGGGTCAAGACGATTGACAGGGGAACACGTGGTACAAAAACACAACACAAGCCATGCGCTCACATAAAACAGAACTAGAAAACACAGCCATTGAGAGAACTCTTTAACCGTGTGTTCTCATGAAACAACACTAAAGCACGTGGAGCATGTAAACATAAACCACGTGCTAAACACACCACGAACAGAAGACTGAATGTAAGACACGAGCACACGATAAATGAAAACACTTACTGTGCACTCACACATGTGACATGCATCTTCTGATCCCAGTGCCAACTGAAACTGAAACCCACTAGACTGGAGCGCTGAGAACAAAAACACCATGCGGTGAACAAAACAACAAACACACCAGGAGGAGAACGTGCATACCGAGCATGCCCAGACTGAGCGTGGCCATGATGGCGCTCATACAAAGACACACAATGACAGAAAATGAGTGCTCAACTTGACAAAACTCAAGCCGAGCACAACATGCAAGACATGACAGGACTAGTGTCTGGACTTTGCCACCAAAACAAAAATTAGCTAGACCGAAGTGGCAGAATCCTGACAGTATGTGCATGAATAAAATATATAGAAAATGTTCATTTAAATGAGAGATTTGTGAGGGATTTGTGATATGTTGAGGACTGTAGTTACAAAAGTTCTAATATATAAATTGTTCATTTATAATTTACATTTTTATATAGTTACATACATTGCTAAATCAATTACTTAATGAATACAATAAAAATCAGAAATGTATCCCAGTTTTTTACTTTCATTTCATTTTATTTTTTATAATGCATTTCCACTTTAATATTTTTATTTAGATTTTTTTTATGCATTTCTCAGTGAATATAGGTCATATATGTTGTGCATTTGAATAAAACAGATTAATTAAATGGATATATTTATTCAAATAATATTTTAGTCACCAAATATCTTTAGAAATAGAAAGATAATACAATTAAATTCATGCAAAAAAAAAGACAAACAACACAATTTCACAAAAATATTATTACATATTTCCGCTAAAATATCCAGATTCCCTTGCCTAATTATTAAATATAATTTTCAATTCCAATTACGTTATTGATGTAAACAGCCACTAAATAGGTTATTATTTTCTTAATGTTAGTAAATATTTACAAAACAATTAATGTAAAATGATAATATAAGAAATTGTTACCATATGTCAATACTAATATATAATTCTACAACATAATTATTTTGTATATATTTAGTGCATTTAAAAAAATATAAAACTTTTTTTCAATTTTGTTTTTCTTCATTTTCGTTTCATTGTATCTTTCCAATAAATGTCCACTAAAATATCCAGATTCACTCACTGAATTATGAATAATCATTTACAACAACAGTTACATTTATAGGTGTGACAAGCAGCAACTAATTGTTATTTTTTGTAAATATTTACCAAAATATTTAATCTGAATGCAGAAAGAACATTTTTACCATATATTCACATTAATTTTTAATATTAATTTAATACATTTGCAGTGTAATTTAACAAATTCCAAACTTTTTTTTCTTTGTTTTCATTTCATTTTATTTTTCCAATGTATCTCTTAAATAAAAAAAAAATCAAATGCAAAATAGCTAAATAATTTCTATTAAAATATCCAGAGTGCACATGCTGAATTAAAGATGCTAGTCATGAGAAGAGAGCATGCCTCATTCATTCATTACATATAATAACATCCGTTGTGTCACTAGTAATGCGTTTCTCTCCTTGCCGTGTGACCCATGAATCAAAAGTGCCATAAATGTTATTCGCTTTCATAATTGCTCCATTAAATGTAGCTTGTGTAGCCTGTTATACTGAGTGATAAAACTAATTAAGCTCTATTAATCATCGCAGAAGCTGAAACCTGCAGAGAAACTCCTGGAGTCTCCAAGCGAACAGTCGGCCAAACCTCAAGTAGAGCAGGTGTGTGTTTGTTTGTTTGTTTGTGTTTTTGTCAATCGCGGCACGCTTTCATTTTGAGTTCATGTTGACTTTAAAGTGCCCTTGTTATGCTTTTCACATTTGTTCAACGTATTTGAGTCTTCGCACATTTCAAGATGCACATGTTAGCCATTATTTCTGCTGCTTTTTTTCTTTTCTTATTTTTAAGGTGATTAGATAATAAGCTGTTTTAGTAGGCAATGAGCCTGTGATTTTTTTTTAAATGCCCTGTCCTGCAAGTAAATAAAAAAAAAACGCAATAAAAAAACAAGACATTTGTGAATAATAGCTGTAATCAACATTGTTTTGCATCACAGAAAACGGAAACCATTTGAAATGACACCGGAGTAATTTATGACACTGTTGTTCATCAATAAAAACTTACTGCATCACTTTTTTGGGAAAAAGGTTGTTTGAGTGTAAATTGAGTCTGATTTAGTGTTTAAATGTCCTGTTGTTCGCCTTAGAAAAGTTTAAAACCTTACAAACTGAATGAAATTTGAATGGGATTTGGCCAATTCTTTTTAAAGAAGGTAAGGTTACACACAGTGTTCATTTTAAAAACAAATTTTTATTTAGTTTGTCATATTTTAGTTTTCTGAATTTATTGTAGTTAATACACTAATGTAGAGTCTCAAAATTGTTTTTATGAGGAACTACTTTTTTCCTCCATTCATTAACATCTGCAGCTGACGGGTAGAACAGCAGAAACGGTGGCTCCTTCACAGAAATAATTTCAGAGCTAGTATTTGAATGATTATCTAGCATAATCTATAAAATGATGGCGACAAAAGTTATTTTGCTCACGTATTAAGATTATCAGGCTGAACGGCATGAAATGCCATCAGTCTACCGAGTCCTTCTGGAAAGTATTCACAGCGCTTCACTTTTTTCACATTTTTTATGTTACAGCATTATTCCAAAATAAATTAAATTCATTTATTTTCTCAAAATGCTTTACACAATACCCCATAATGACAATGTGAAAAAAGATTTTTTGACATTGTTGAAAATTTATTCAAAATAAAAAAACCTGAAAAATCACATGTACAGAAGATTCACAGCCTTTGCTGTGAAGCTCTAAATTGAGCTCGGGTACATTCTGTTTCCACTGATCATTCTTGAGTTGTTTCAGCAGCTTAATTGGAGTTCACCTGTGTTCAGTTGATTGGACATGATTTGAAAAGGCATACAGCTGTCTATATAAGGTCCCAGGGTTGACAGTGCATGTCAAAGCACAAACCAAGCATGAAGACAAAGGAATTGTCTGTAGATCTCCAAGACAGAATTGTCTTGAGGCACAAGGCTGGGGAAGCTTACAGGAAAATTTCTGCTGCTCTGAAAGTTCCAATGAGCACAGCGGCCTCCATCATCCCTACGTGGAAGATGTTTGGAACCACCAGGACTCTTCCTACAGCTGGCCGGCCATTTAAACTGAGTGATCAGGGGAAAAGGGCCTTATTCAGGGAGGTGATCAATAACCTGATGGTCACTCTGTCTGAGCTCTAGCGTTCTTCTGTGGAGAGAGGAGAACCTTACAGAAGGACAACCATCTGTGGAGCAATTCATCAATCAGGCCTGAATGGTAGAGTGACTAGACGGAAGCCACTCTTTAGTAAAGGGCACAAAGCAGCCCGCCTGGAATTTGCCAAAAAGCATCTAAAGGCTTCTCAATTGAACTGAGACTAAAATGTAACTCTTTGGAGTGAAAGCCAGTTACTTTTGGAGAAAACCAGGCACCGCTCATCACCAGGCTAATACCATCCAGGCTGTGGGGATGTTTTTCAGCAGCAGTAACTGGAAGACTAGTCAGGATAGAGGGAAAGATGAATGCAGTAATGTACAGAAACATCTTGAATAAATACCTGCTTCAGAGTGCTCTTGACCTAAGACTGGGCCAACAGTTCATCTTCCAGCTGGGCAATGACCCAAAGCACACCACCAAAATATCAATGGAGTGGCTTTACAACTCAGAAAATGTCCTTGAGTGGCCCAGCCAGAGCCCAGACCTAAATAATGTTGAACATCTCTGGAGAGATCTGAAAATGGCTGTACACAGTCGCTTCCCATCCAACCTGATAGAGCTTGAGAGGTACTGCAAAAAGGAATGGGCAAAAATTCCCAAAGACAGGTGTGCCAAGCTTGTGGCATCATATTCAGAAAGACTTGAGGCTGTAAATGCTGCCAAAGGTGCATCAACAAAGTATTAAGCAAAGGCCGTGAATACTTATGTACATGTGATCTTTCAGGTTTTTTATTTTAGAATAAATTTTCAACAATTTCAAAAAATCTTTTTTCACATTGTCATTATGGGGTATTGTGAGTAGAATTTTGAGAAAATAAATGAACTTAATCCATTTTGGAATAAGGCTGTAACATAAAAAATGTGGAAAAAGTGAAGCGCTATCAATACTTTCCAGAGCAGTGTTCTGGAGCAACTTTTTGAGCGGTATTGCTGGACAATATTGTAAAGGGATATTGCTTGGCTACTTAGCAGCTAAAATTGGTAACACATTTATTTACAAAAAAATTATAAATGTAAGTTATTTTGTGTAGATGTATACATGTGTGTATACCCCGTGAAACTAAAACAGGTAGTAGTAATTAATACTTTTTCTTTACTTTTACTTGAGTACAAAAGTTGTAATCAGTACTTCAACTTTTACCAGAGTCATTTTAAACATAATCATCTGTATTTCTACTTGAGTAAATGATGTGAGTACAAAATGGAAAATGTAGCAACAGGCCTCAGACAACACAAGAGAGCTGAGTGTTAGTAAACAGTCTGATCTGTTTGTGTCTCTTTTTTTATGTTCCCTCATTCTGGATGGTTCTCAGATCCCCAGTCTTCCAAAACTCCAGAGGAGCTCCACTAAACCCTCAGCAGGATCTCTGGAGGTCACATCCTCCGCATCATCTGTGCCAGTTTCTGGCACCAGCCCTGACTTTGAGTACTGCAGCAAAGGTGATTTTACAGTATTATGTTAGAACTTTAATTTTCATGTCTCCTTTTTAATGTTGTGCTGTTATCTGTGGCACATGTTTAATTAGAGTTGGAATGAAAGCATTGCCTCGGCCTCTTTGAACACTGACAGTTGTTGTTTTTTTAAAGAAGAAATTATTTTGTTATGGCTTTGAGCGATTTGTGAAACGCAGAACATGAAGTTGCATCATTTTTGTTTTTCAGATCCCGCTACATGTCCAATAGTTCCAGGACAAGAGACGGTTATAGAGATTTCTAAGGGCCGGTCTGGTCTGGGTCTTAGTATAGTCGGCGGGAAAGATACTCAGCTGGTACGGTAACAGTAAACTAGATTTGAAAATACAAGAGTATTTTTCTGCGTGATGTTTGTGCTTTGCATTTTTAGTTTATTTGAATAACTATTACTTTGTCTTTATTATTATTATTAATTATTATTTCTATTATTAATTATCATTTGTTTTAGATTTGTATTATCACTAGTTTTAAAATTATTATGTTTTGTTTTTATTATAATTATTTTAGATTTGTATCACTAGTTTTAGAATTATTATTATTATTATTATTATTATTATTATTATTGATTATTATTATTGTTGTGGTTATTATTGTTAATTATTATTTGTTTTAAATTTGTATTACTACTAGTTTTAGAATGATTACTAATATTATTATTTGTTTTTGTTTAGTTTTCTTTAGTTTTTGTTATCTTTGCATTGTTTTGCATTGTTTTCCCTCTGTTTTTCGGGAGATTTAATTTTGTTTTATCTTTTTGTATTTGTTTTCTTAGATTTTTTTATTTTTTTATTTTATTTAATTTTTTTACTTTTTTGTGTTTTCTCTATTTTCATTTGTTCATAAAGTTTATTTGTGTGTAGTTGCATTGCCGTTTTTAGTATTTTGTTTTAATGTTTGTTTTTGTGCTTGTTTTAATTAGATTTTTTTGTTTTTTGTTTCTTTTTGTGTTTTCTTTTTATGGATTTTGTTTTCTTGTTTTCTTATGTTCGGGTTTTATTTTCTGTTTTGTTTTTGAGTTGTATTCTTTGTTTGGGTTCTTTCCTTGTTTTTTATTTTGATTTTTTTTTGTACATGTTTTTTTTTTGCTTTTTGTTTTAATGTAAATTTTTGTGCATGTTTTATTTTGTGTTGTTTTTTCATTTTTTTATTTATGTTTTTCTCTCCATTTTATATATTTCTATTTTTATCATTTTCTATCATGTTTTATTTTTATACTTTGTCCTATTTTATTTGTTTTATTTTCAGTTTTATGTATTCTTTTTTATTATTAATTTTATGTAAATTTTTTGTATGTTTTTTATTTTATTTATCTTTTATCAATTTTTTATTTGTTTTATTTTTATTTTTATGTATTCTTATTTTTATTCTTATTTTTGTTTATTTTAGTGTTGGTTCTATTTTGGTTTGTTTTTTAAAAAAAAATGTATATATATTTTTTAGGTAAGTAGGGTACTTTATTTATACCCTAAGGTAGATTTGGTTTGCAGTCAAAAGTCCTCATCTCTTAAAAGTGCCACACAAAGGAACTCGCAAAGTAACATCTACAAACTTGATAATGGTTCTATTTTCCCACCTGCTCTGGCACATGTTTGTGTAGAGGATGTATAACAGAGGTGAAAGAACACATCCTTGTGGGGACCTGGTTGAGGAGCAAACTTTATCAGATAAACATCCATTCACTCTAACACTTTGTGTTCGATTAGTTAAAAAATTAAGGATCCAGCCCACCAAGTTATTACTAAGGTCAAACTGTTCCAGGAGTCTATTAATTAAAATGTGAGGTTGACTTGTGTCAAAAGCAGAAGAAAAGTCGATAAACAGAAGTCTGGCATGGGAACCATTTTTTCCTTTGTTTTATTTGTATTTTTTTTTCCTTTGGTTTATTTGTATTTTTTTCCTTTGTTTTGTTTGTATTTTTTACTTGTTTTATTTCTATTTTTTACTTGCTTTATCTGCATTTTTTACATGTTTTATTTGTTTTATTTTCAGTTCTTTTATGAATTCTTAATTTTTTTATGTTTTATTTTGCTTTTTGTTCTGGTTTTTCAGCTTAATGGGAAAAAACACTCTAAATCAGTGTTTATGTTTTACCAAACAGGCAGTAAGCATATGCATCAAACATTTTATTCATTCTCATTTCTCAAAATTACCTTATAGACGCTTTATAGTGTACATAAATGCACCAGAACTGAACAACGCAAGCGATAAAGCATATACTAACCCTAAATGATCAAGTGTGGATCCAGTTTGTCTTGCATGTGGTTCAGTTTCAGGTACGTGGTGTGAATGTGTGTGTCCATCCTTGAATGGTCTCGATTTCTCCATCGGCTGCAGGGTTGCATGAAAACAGGCAGCTCACAGCAGGTGCTCTTTGTCTGTCCTGCCCTCCTCTGGCGGGCTGCAGAGACGAGCAGAGCCTCAGGCTTTTATCCGCCACATCGCCATCATAACTGGACTCGGTGGGCCCGTTCAGCTGTCAGAGGCCTTTATGAGTCAACAAAACCAGCCCTCGGGCATCGCGGTCTGCAGCTGGAAGAAAAACATCTCCGTGTGTTTTATACACAGCGGTTTTAAAGGTGTCCGCGTGCAGAAATTACACCGCCTCAGGCCACTCTAAATCTGTGCAGCACAAACGGAGAGGTTTTGAAAGATGAGCTGGCTGCTTTTTTACAGTGTTAGAATAGAAATGGACTTAAAGAATCTGAGGAACGACTCTTGTGGATTGTGTTGTGGAAAGGATTACGTTTATGTTGCAGATGGTATTAGAGTTGACTTCCTTCAAATAATAAGCCTTGGGCTCTTCTAAAGCATAAAAATATCATATATGTTGTTATGTTTGTACCATATTTAAGAAACATGCTATTTGAACATACTTGTTTGCCTGAAAAGCAATGCTAAAGTCAGTTATTATCCTTTGAAATTGTGTATCCTTTGTCAGAATGTCTGTCTTTGTTTTGGTCTCTATAACCAGCAGCCAAACAGGTTGCCTTGGTGGATAACAACTTGGTTAATTTCATTCTTGAAGGCTACCTCAATATATGCAGGTGTGGACAAAAATGAGACCTCCAGAGAACAGTAGCAGCCTCAGAAATGAAACTCTGGTAGAGAGTTAGAAAAATCCACATGAGGTGGTTTTTAATTGGCAAAGAATTAGCTGAGCAGCATACACTCAATCATCAGGCATGCTTGCTCCTATTGGTGTCATCAATCTGGCAACCGGCTTTTACATTGAGTCATCAGGGGAGGAGCCGTGCGGGGAAAAACCCCTCCTCAATTTTTTGAATTTAGACTGCAATATCTGGTTTAACCACTAGGTGTGTCAACCCTACACACTGCACCTTCAAACGAATCATTCAGGGAGTTTTGGTGAACTGGATAAAGAGATTGATTGACTGAAAACTGAACATTCATGCATCAGATATAAAGAAATGTTATCAAAAAATGCTGTTAAAAATTGTTTTCTGTTTAAATAACAGCTTTTATCCCGTTCATAGTAAACGATGGCAGTAGAAGTGTTATGGTGAACTTTACGAAAAAGGTGCTGTTTGTTTTTGGTGATATTTGTCCTCTTCTCACACATTTCTGCGGTGTTTTCAGGATGCGATCGTGATTCATGAAGTGTATGAGGAGGGAGCAGCGGCGCGGGACGGACGACTCTGGGCCGGTGACCAGATTTTAGAGGTTTGTGTGTATGTGTGTGTGTGTGTGTGTGTGTGTGTTTGTTGTTTTGTATCTGTTTTTATGTTTGTGTTAATGTTTTATTTATTCATTTTTGTCATCGTACGTGTGAGCCTGTGTGTGTTAGCTTGTATGTGCATGTGTTTTGTGTGTACGTTTGCTTTCCTTCGGTTCTGTGCACATGGGTGTGTATTTTTGTGTGTGTTTGATGTTGTGTGTGTACACTTGTGAGTGTGTATGTAAGTTTGTCTTTTTCTGCGTTTGCATGTTTTTTTGTGCTTGTTATTGTTGAGTTTGTATGTTTTTGTACATGTGTGTTTGTGTGCATGTGTTTATCTTTTAGTTTGTGTGTCTGTATTTGCATTATTTGTATTTGTCTCATTTTTGTGTGTCTGTGATTGTGCATGCTTTTATTGTCTTTTTTCTGTCTGTATGTGCTTGTATTTTGTGTGTGTGTGTGTGTGTGTGTGTGTGTGTGTGCGTGTGTGCGCGCGTATGCGTATGTGTGTGTGTGTGTGTGTGTGTGTGTGTGTGTGTGTGTGTGTGTGTGTGTGTGTGTGTGTGTGTGTGTGTGTGTGTGTGTCAGCTGCTCTGCCTGGAGGTGAAATGTAAATGTGTGTTTGAATGCTGTTATTGTGAATGATAAGAGAGTCATGTGACCAGCAATGTTCGTCATATTGATACAACAGCGCCATCTTCTGGACACACACTAGCATTAGCACAGGATGCTTGTGCATATTAATACACAGTACTGTTATTCTGAGAGTATTCCTATCTTATTCATATCTTATAAAATGTCCATATTTAAAGTCACTTTAATTGTTATACCTTAATATATCATATATAAATTTATATATTTATTTATTTTAGTAAATGTAGCAATTTTTTATTTAAGACATTTAATTTTAATGTGATTAAATGTGACATAATTAATTTCATTTGTTTTGATGACGCTACTTGACACACTGAGATTTTATTATTTTTTTTTATTATTATTAATATTAAAATAATTTCTTTTTGGTATGTCATTTGACATTTTTTAAATTTGTTTTTGCTTATTTAAATATTTTTTAATATGTTTAATAAATGTTTATTTTACTATTTATTTTAGGTAAATTTACATTCTGTATTTTTTCAGTTAGTTGATTTTTTTGTTTAATCTTTATTTTAAATTAAAATATTTAACAGTTTAAATTTATATATATATATATATATATATATATATATATATATATATATATATATATATACAGTTGAAGTCAAAATTATTAGCCCCCTTTTGATTTTTTTTTTTTTTTTTTCCTTTTTAAATATTTCCCAAATTATGTTTAAGGAAATTTTCACAGTTTACCTGAAATATTTTTCTTCTGGAGAAAGTCTTGTTTTATTTTGGCTAGAAAAAAGCAGTTTAAAATTTATGTATTTTAAGGTCAAAATTATTAGCCCCTTTAAGCTAGATTTTTTTTTTTTGATAGTCTACGGAACAAACCATCGTTATACAATAACTTGCCTTAATACCCTAACCTGCATAGTTAACCTTATTAACCTAGTTAAGCCTTTAAATGTCACTTTAAGCTGTATAGAAGTGTCTTGAAAAACATGGTAAAATATTATTTAGTCATCATGGCAAAGATCAAAAAACTCATGTTATTAGACATGAGTTATTAAAACTATTATGTTAGGAAATGTGTTGAAAAAATCCTCTCACTGTAAACAGAAATTGGGGGAAAAAATAAACAGGGGGGCTAATAATTGAGATGGTTTAATAATTCTTTAACTATGTATATTTTAAAGGTGCAGTGGGTGATCTGCCTAAATACTAATTGGTTAGCGTAATATCTTTCAAATACCACGCACATTAAGGATGACAGACCCACTAGTTTGTCATTCACCAGTTAGAGAACTTTACAGTACTTTATAATACTACAATTCTGAACAAAAAACTGTGAATAATCTGGCGACCCCAGATTAATGAAGGGACAAAGCCGAAAAGAAAATGAATGAACGAATGAATGATGACAGTAAATAATATTTTGCTATATATTTTTCAAGACACTTCTATACAGCTTAAAGTGACATTTAAAGGCTTAACTAGATTAATTAGGTTAACTAGGCAGGATAGGGTAATTAGGCAAGTTTCTGTATAATGATGGTTTGTTCTGTAGACAGTTGGAAAATATATATAGTTTAAAGGGGCTAATAATTTTGACCTTGAAATGGTTCATAAAAATTAAACACTGCTTTCATTCTAGCCAAAATGAAACAAATAAGACTTTTTCCAGAAGAAAAACTATTATCAGACATACTGTGAAAATGTCCTTGCTCAGTTAAACATCATTTGGCTAATAATTCTGACTTCAACTGTATATCATTTATTAAGCCTTATTTATATTACTTCTTTAGTGTTTGTTTTTGTTTGGCATATTTTAGTCAGCAGTCTTTAGATTTGTAATAGTTTAATGTTTCATCCTTTTATAGGTGTAATTGATATTTATTTCAATTGTGTATCCTGTGTGTGCAGTGCAGGATCATAATGTGGTGTGTAATGTGTGTTGTGTCTCCTCCTGCAGGTGAATGGAGTGGATTTGCGCAGTGTGGCTCATGAAGATGCAATCGCTGCTCTACGGCAAACACCACCCAAAGTCCGGCTGACTGTCCTGCGGGACGAGGCGCAGTACAGAGATGAGGAAAACCTGGATGTCTTCCCTGTCGAACTTCAAAAGAAAACTGGACGTGGACTGGGGCTGAGCATCGTCGGCAAGAGGTGAGCATAAACTCACGATGTGATGTGCAATATAATTAAACATTTTAAGTTAAATTAAGTGTACAATACAGTGGAGCCTTTTCACAAGCCTGTTATGACATGTTTAACAGTCATCACAATCTTAAATCTTTTTGAAAATCTTTTTTATATTAAGATTATTTTTTAAATGTATGAACATTTATATGAATTTATGAATGTATTATATCATAATTGCTTTAAATTACAAAAAAAAACTAATTGTTGATTGTGCAAGGCGTTTCAACTGCACCGTCGATGGGGCAGTAGAATAAATTGACGTTACTCTCTCCTTTGGCTGCTGTTATCAGTCTCACAGCATTTTGTTTCCTTTATGACATCATCATGGAGTTTTTCTTTTATTATTTCAGCAAATAAGATTAAAAATTACTTGTACTCTCTGATTCACTGCGCTGTAAGTTTTCCCAACTATGACAGATTCTGCTACTGAGAGATCCTGGAAATGTGAAAAGGAGGGAAAAATGCACTTAATCATTTAAAAATAAACATGCAGTACAATTTACTGCACAATACCATATGTTTTATGAAAATAAACAATCTTCAATGCAGAATACTTATCTTTTAAAATGATATTTTACATTAAATAAAGTAATACACAACGTGATATCTTTACTAAAAATAATAAACAGGATCATGTACACTATCATGTATACCAGGGAATGGCCAAACTCTGTCCAGGAGGGCTGGTGTTCTGCAAAGTTTGGTTCCAACCCCAATTAGACACATCTGGGCTACCTAATCAAGCTCTTAAGCTGCGGTCACACTGGGCTTTTCTCCCCATAGACTTCTTTTCGTACACACGCAAATGTGTCAGACCGGAAACGCAGGGTAATGCGTCAAGTTTTGCAGGTTGCAAAAAAGTTCAATTTTGGTGAACTCCGACCTGCGAAATCACATCAATTGATTTTGTGAGACCAATCGAGGATCAAAACATGACATCTCTGGACAGAAATTTAAAACATGGGGCAATCGCTCGCTTTTTTTAATGTCTATTAATCTTGTTTAATCCCAACCTTTTTGCAGAGCCGTGCAACAGAATTTCGCACACACAAACTCTAGTGTGACCGCAGCTTTACTAGGCTCCCTATAAACATCCTTGCAGGTGTGTTGAGGCAAGGTGGAGCAACAATCTCCAAGACACTGGTCCTCCAGTACCAAGTTTGGACACTTCTGATACTGTAAAGTGTTTAATAACAAGATGTGAAAATTAAATGTAAAAATAAATCTAGGATATTATGCAGTAGTATAATACAATAATAAAGTTATTTAAAGTATATTACAGTGAATACGATAATGTACATTAAAATAACAATCTAAAAAGTACAATTGAATAATTTCATATAAAATAACAAATGTTATAGTTAAACCATGATAAAATGCATATTTATCATATGAGTTTTTTAATATCTACAATATAAAAAATACTATAGCAATACAAAATGCATTATATTTAAATATAAATAATATGCAATATTATAACATGTAATTATAATAATATTATTAAATTATAAAATGATTATAATAAAATATAAAATTGTTATAAAAATGCACAATACTATAACAGTTTTCAGATTACATTTTACAGTTGTTTATGTATTTATTAGACATAAATAGTAAAAAAAAAACATGAAAATTTACAAATATATCTTCAAAATATTATGATATGATTATGATCATATTTTTTAATTATAATAATATTATAAAAAATCTGTTATAAAAATGCTCAATACCATAGCAGTTTTCTGGTTAAATTATACAGTTGTTTATGCATTTTCTTTCATTTTCAGATTTCAGTTATGTATCCATTTGCTTTAGGGCATACTTACACTATGTACAGTTGCCTTGAACTGGGCTGAAGCACACTTGTCCCCCCTGCCGTCTCCCCCGACGGCCAGCACTCACATCGCTTTCGGGCCTGAGCACGCTTACGTCATTGATGATGAGCTGTTCAAGCGCTCTCGATCAGCACAGTGGAGATTTCTTTATATCGTTTTAGTCGTTTGGGATGCAGTGACATGTCAAATATTACGCAGAACTGGTCAGCCTCTTTTGACGCTCATAAACAATCATAAAGCCCTCGTGCTGCAGGAATTAGGAGGTTTGCTGAAGGTGCAGCTGTCATGCAGTGAGGGGTTTGCGTCTTTAATAAACTATGACAGGTTGCGTTCATTGAACCGTAAGAATGGTTAATAAATCCATATGAAACAGTCCCTTAAAAGTCACGTGTCGTCTTCAGTTTCGAGCTCAGGCGAGTTTTCCACTCACACTACAAGCATAAAAGACCAAGTGAACCGGGCTCTAGCACACTTCTTCCAACTGGGCCAGGGCTGGCCAACTGAACCACCTCTGAGCCAGATTCAGAGCACTTCTCAAATGATCCAGGAAATGGGCCTGGGCAAGGTTCGGCTAGCATCGTGTGACTGCCCCCTTAGACATAAATAGTACAATATATATATATATATATATATATATATATATATATATATATATATATATATATATATATATATATATATATATATATATATATATAATAACATTTTTACTGATTCATTGTTTACATTGCTGAATCTAGTAAAACAGTTGTAGTGAATGTAAAATATTAAAGTGAAATGTGTAATCCTGCACGTCTCCTTGACATGTCTCTGTGTGTGTGTGCAGGAATGGTAAAGGTGTGTTCATCTCTGATGTGGTGAAGGGAGGTGCGGCTGATCTGGACGGTCGACTCATGCAGGGCGATCAGATCCTGTCCGTGGACGGAGAAGACATGAGACAGGCGTCACAGGAGACAGTCGCTGCCATTCTCAAGGTCAGCTCCATCTCAATCCTAAAACACAAACCTGGTTTACAGCAAGGTCCAATAGAGGATTACAAGAGCACATTTAAAGAGATCGTTCAACCAACACTGATTTCCAAACATGTTTGAGTTTTTTTCTCGTGTTAAAAACAAGAGAAGACATTTTTGAAGAACACTGGATGTCTTTAACATCCGTTGACTTCCATAGTGCCGCAGATGCGCAACGCTAACACTAGATGTCGCTGTTTGATTTGGTATCATAAGGTGGTTGAAGCTTGTGCTGTTGATGAAACAGTATCTGGGTTTGTTTAGGTTTTATTTTTGCAAAAACAGTGATGGATGTAAAGTTGAACCTTAAAAACCTCAATTAAAATCAGAAGTGTTTATGTAATTTGTATGGTAGAAGCCCATTTCAGCTAGGTAAACCAAATGAAATGATGCCATAAAAAATAATCAATAAATTACGAGATAAAAAGTTAAAATTATGACTTAGCAAGCCAAAAAGACAATAAACGTCTACCTGACTTGAAGTTCTGAGAGAAATTTATGTTATTATTTAGCATGTTGAATTGACAATAAAAGGCCAGATAAATTAAAATGACTTGCGTCAAAATGATGTCTTATTATGAAATAAAAAGTCGAAATTATGACTTAGCAATTCTTAGCAAGTGAAAATTGCAAGATAAACAGTTTAAACTGACTTATTACGGAATCGTCAAAACTGACTTGAGATTATGACTTAGCATCTCAAAATAAGAAACTGCTAAATTAAAATGATAACTTATCAAGTAGAAATAACAAGATAAAAAGTCAAAATGATCACTTACTACGTCAAAGTGACAATAGAAGCTTACTTGACTTGACTAATTAAATTATTACTTGCTAAGTCAAAATTATGACTTAGCAAGTTTAATTAAGACTTAGCTCATCAAAATTGCAAGATAAAAGGTTAAAATGATGACTTGGCAAGTCAAAATGACGATAAAAGCCTACCTGACTTGAAATTATGATATAAATTGAAATTTTTACTTAACATGTCAAATTAACAATAAAAGCCAAGATAAATTGATATTTAACTCTTAACTTAAGTCAAAATAATGTGTTACTATTAAATAAAAACTCAACATTATGACTTAGCAAGTTGAAATCATGATTTAACAAGTGAAAATTGCAAGATAAAGAGTTTAAGTTGACTAGTTACGAAATCGTTGAAATGATGACTTTGCAACTCAAAATTCTGAAATACTAAATCTAAATGATGACTTGGCAAGTAGAAATAACGAGATGAAAATGATCACTTACCAAGTCAAAATGACAATAGAAGCCTACTTGACTTTGAAATCAAAATTATTACTTGCTAAAATTAAATTATCAAGGCATAATTTAAAAATTATTCATATTAGTACAAAATTATAAGTAATTTTGCACTCATCAAAATTACTGTGAAATAAAAAGTCAAAATGATAACTTATCAAGTCGAAATCATGATTTAACAAGTGAAAATTGCAAGATAAATACTTTAAATTGACTTATTACAAAATTGTTTAAATTGACCTGAGTTGAAATTATGACTAAGCATCTAAAATATAAATTACTATGAAATATTGGACATTGACTTAAGTCAAAATGAAATGATTTGTCCTAAAATTGAGATATGTTGAAATGATTACTTGCTGTAAAATAGTAAGTCAAAATGAACGCAAAAAAAGTCAAAATCATGACTTTCTAATACAAAATTTACTTAGCAAGTCAACATTAAGATTTAAAAAGAAAATTATGACCTAATAAAACAAAGCTTTTACTTAGCAAATTAAAATTAGGAATTAGCAAGTCAGAGTTTAGACTTCCTAAATCAAAATGATGATTTACTCAGCCAAAAAAAAAAGCTTAGATAAAAAGTCGAAATTATGAGGTTAATAAGAGATTCATTCAAAAGTGATCTAAAAAGATGAATTTTACTTTGAAATTTAAAGTAGTTTCCACTCTACTTTTATTACATAATCCAGTTTTATTTGTTTAGTTCATAAACATTGAGAGTAAAACATTACATTTAAAGTCATCAAAAACTCAACACTTATGACTCCTGATGATACATTGAGGTCTGAGAAAGCAAAATAAATGGTTTGGGCATTTTTTACAACATTATCCTTATCTGTAATCTGCAGTTTGTGTAGTCTGCAGCCACTGGTATTAAGTTTGTGTTGGCTCTGTTTTTTTTGACCAGCATTTGGTGAAATAATGACAAAAGTTTCAGTTAAAAAATAAACATCAGAGCAGTTCATCACTTTTACTGTGGCTAGCATAGATGGTAGCATATAAGCTGACCACAACAATGTGCGTGAAGGTGATATTAAATGATATCAAGCCCAAACGGTTTGTCAGTTTTGGTGCATTCTCTTGGCTACTTGTCACTTACATAATAAAAAATAACAATAATATCTATAATAATTTTTATCCTAATTTTTTTATTTATTATAGCTATTTATTATATCATTTCTAAGGTACGCATTAGAATAAAAATATAAAAACAAAAGATTTTGCTCATACATTTTATAAAAGTGCCCGTTTGTGACACCATCTTCTACATGCAAAAATATTGCAGTCATTTATAAGTACTATTATGAGAAGTACGCTTATAATAATCGTTTTTGAACCATATATTATTGAACTTTCCCTCTTTATTAGCAAAAACTTTTGAAAATCTATGAAAGCTTTTTTACATTTATCATTTTGACCAATTTAAACTATTATAAACAACATAAAACAGAAACTTTTTGATGTTCTGATTGCGATTCCTATGTAAAAGTATCACTTCCTGCCCTCCATCTGAGTATCACATGTCATCAGTGACGTCATGTGAAAACAACCGATAGTTTAGTTTTTACTACAGCAAACTGTGGTGTATTGTAGTACACTGTAGTAAAAACTACCGTATTGAGGAATTTCCAACCTGCTAAAGGACAGGACGTGACGTGACATGATGTCACACGGGTTCCCGGTTGCAATAGCAAACATGTCGTGTTGTGCAGTAAATTCAAATTCGAAAGTCCAAAAATAGAAAACTTAACCTTTACCGTACACCACACTGGTTTTAATGCCAACCGCAGATGTCTTTGGCTAAAAGGCAGCTGAACGGAGTAAGGACCTAATTAAAAACGCTTGACTCTGCAGTTCTCATTTCAGGTAAGTTCACGCTATGCTAAATCATACACATTACTCATTTTTGATTGCAACAATAATTTCAGCGAAAACAGAAATATGGTGAATTAAAGTGCGGACACTGAATGCTTCGAATGTAATGTACACATGTACGTTCACATACTCTGCCATACAGGTGCAGTTCATTGTCAGAATGCAGTTATTTTGCGTGTTAATGATTACCCAGGCCTTATATAGTTCCGTCTTCTTTCCTTGTCTTTGGCTAGACTGAACCTCGGTTTTTAGCACTACAAAGTTTCGAATCTGGTAATCATGGAACATTATTTCTTGCACATGACCACTCAGAACAAAATTGTTGGCATCCAAAGACTTGTAGGCCTTTAACTTCTCTCTTGTAAAAACATTTGGAGCTTCAATGAGATGGGTGCTCCCGTTTTTTTCTGCAACCTCGCTGTGCGCGCATCCTGAGTATTTACACACCTATAATTCATCTATTGGATCATTTGTTTATATTACTATAATTTTTGTGTTACTATAGCAATGGTATAATCACCACCACAGATTAATTAAAATACTTTACTATAGTATGGTTCAGGGCTTAACATTAACTTTTTTGATCACCAGCCACTGTGGCTAGTAGTTTTCCAACATTACTAGCCACTCGCCATTTTCACTAGCCACAATTTTATTGTTGGGAAAATATATTTTATACACGTAAATATGACTTTTTATGACATGCTAAAATTACTTGATTTAGAGTTCGCGTTATCTCTACATGCTTCCTTATTCATTTCACTTTTTGTGTGTCGTGTATGAGCTTGCTCAATAATCATGAGAAAATGGGTCAGGGTTTCATATATTACAATTAGTTTACATAATGTTCAGAGCCCAAAATAAAGGATTTACCCAATTAATCTCTGACCACACCATAAATAAACAGTTAATTATTTCTTAGCCACAAAATTTAAATGTGTAAAAACATGCAAAATATAGCAGAATACTAAACTTTTTATTTAACAAAACATATGCACAGTCATATGTCCTGGCTTAACTACACATTAAATTTAACTAGTTAACTACACATAAATGGGGACTTATTCTCCCATTAAAGCAATGTTATTGTAAAAAAAAAAAGATAATTAAACCATATTAATGCAAAAGACAGGTAAAAAACATACTGTGTGATAATAAAAGGATGATCACACACGCATGGTTAATGATCTTTTTAAAGAATCGTTAAACCCAAAGCAACTGGCGTTGCTTTTAATAAGTCAACTCTGGAACTCTTGAATGCAGCAAGACTGTATGTGCATGTTCCTCCCTTTTTGTTCAGTCTATTTGAAAGAGAATCGATTGCATCAGTTGTGTTTCTAGACACAGTTGCTTCACAAAAGGAAACGGGAGCGCGCACGCGTTATAAACAGTCGCGCACACGCGTTATAAACAGTCACGCGCATCACCTCAGCTGTTAGCGTGAGAGATTATCCTCTCATTTGGTATTCACCTGCTTTGCTCGGGTGAAGTTGCGAACGTAATTATTTTTGTCAGTCGTGTTGCTTCTCGATCGCCTGTGCATGCACATTGGACCATCCTTATAGTCGAACCCTGCTTTTAAGAATTATTATCTGGGAAAATTATTATCAACCAGCCAAAGTGGCTAGTGGGAGTGTCTGTCTTACCCGCCACCGCCGAAATCTACCCGCATTTGGCGGGTTGGCGGGTGTTAATGTAAAGCCCTGGTATGGTTCAATAACATTATAATATTTGCTAAAAGTTACTGTAGTATTTTTTATATGGGCTGCAACACTTTTAAAAAAATAAGTCTTAAAGCTCGAGTAAAATCTAAATTTACATTGTTTATTTTGCTTGCGCACATTGTTAATCCTTAGGTGAACAATTCCTCTGTGCAAGTTATTCAACTGAAAATATGTTTGTTTTGGTAATCTTCAATCAAATCCCACCACTTGCTTCCACATTTAGAGTTGCAGTCCTTCTCTCATGTCAGTTTGATGCTTTAGCCACAAGAATTTTAACCACGAAACTCTTACCATTAGTTTACGACAAGGGAATTATGTGCAAAAAGAAAGCGCCACCCCCTAATTAATATTCCATTTCAGTTAGAAGAACATCAACATACTGAAATAAAGGTCTTAGCATCTTCTGGTTCACACAGACTTTAATGATAGCTTCATTCTAAACACTCATAAAGAGGCTCCAGTATTGCGTCAGTCAATGGAATTATGGGAAATGTTGGCTTCAGTGAGGTTGCATTGAAGCGCTGTTGTTTGGCTTCAACTTCCCTGTGGACTTGATCTCAAAAGGCTTTGGCTTGAGTCAGGCACTGTGGATCCTGCATTGTGGGTCTGTGTGTAAAGATTCCCGAAAAGTATGTGAAAGCAAGAGGATACTGGCGGGGTAGGGGGAGGCAGTCCACCATGCCAAAGCTGTGTGTGCTGTGATCCTGCAGTGCGCCAGGGGAAAGGTGCTGCTGGAGTTGGGCCGACTGAAAGCTGCATCCTGGATCTCTTCCAGACGCACCTCACAGGGAAGTCAGGTGTGTAGCCCGCACCCCACGCCTCGTTTGGGCTTCCCCGCTGCACCTTAAAACCAGAAGTCCAGCATGTCCAACTCTAACCCAATCACTAGTGCATGTTAGCGGATGGGAGGACCAGCGGCGTGGGCATCTGTGTGTGTGTTACTCATCCATGTTGCCTGAAAAAAAACAACGGGAGTGTGTCTACACGTCAGCATGTCACTAACCGAGATGTATGCGTGTGTTATTGCATGAGTGTTTGTGTGGATGGATCACAAAACCAAGTCTTGTGTTGCATGGGTGTGTTTTGACAGTAACAAAAAATACATTGTATAGACTATTCTGAGGGATGTAAACAAAAGCAATGGTCCCAATGTCTTTAGTTTTTTACATTTTAAATTTGTAAAGCTTCCGAGAATATAAAAAGAGTCACATATTGATAAATAATGTTATGCTAGCTGCTTTAACATTAAGTTATGATTGAATTGCCTCTTGTCTTGCTTGTTATCAAACTATTTCATAACTGCAACATGTTCATGGCCTAATGAATGACATGATCACATTGAAATGGTCTAGCCAAAAGTCATTAGAATATTAAGTATGTTCATGAATATATTTAGTAAATTTACCTACCGTAGATATATCAAAATTCTCAATACTGGATTAGTTAAGTGCATTACTACCTACTTTAGCCTAGTTTGGATAATATTGAATAGGATTTTCTCAATATTTTGATTAAAGCAGCATAACATTTTGCAAAAAAATCATGTCCAAATTGGAAATAAGCAGGAAAGTGATTGACATACTTGAAATTAAACAAGAATAAAAAAAATAAGTTCAACAGTGTGTATTAAATAAAAAAAAAAAACACCAACACTGTAATATAAGTTAATACAATAACAGAATTGCATATTTGAGTTTACAAAGTGCTTGAGTCAAGTAAGTTCCCTTATATAGAATAAAGTAAATTGTAATAGGACAAATAGAATAAGGTAATGTGACGCTGGCAGGACAGCTCACACTCATATAAACAATTTCTTAAATAAGATATCTTTTAAAAATGTATAACTATCAGGTTTTATATTATACTCTAGCACAAATGAGAAATCACAATTATTGTCAGGTTTTTGAGGAACAAAAAAAAAAAAAGAAAAAAAATTGAACAGAATTTGTAAAAGAGGGGGTTTAGGAAAACAAGGAGTATGTCCTTTTCCTGTGTTGAGAATAGTGAGCACTTAGCAACTAGCCCAAACACTGCTACAAAGAACAAACTCATAAAATCCACAAATAATGCAAATGTGACACATTTTTTACTAAACCGGTGAAAAGGTATGATATAATTGCAAAGACTTATCGACCCAAAATTGAAAATCGAATCTCAACTCTCCTAACAAATCATCATTCAAACAAAACTCATTAGAGTATTAATATTTAGTAAATGTACACATCTTAAATATATCAAAACTAAGAACTTAATTTGAATTTTAAACTATTTTAAACATGACGTTCTTCAAATGTAAAGCTTTGATTTAACAGTTGTGTCCAAATTAGGCATGGGACGATAACCGTTTTCAAGGTACACGCGCTTTGGAAAAATCAAGGTTTTAAAACAACCAAATTTTTCTGTAATACCGTTCCTAAGGTATGTGTAAGATATATATAGATATGTATATATCAAAGCTGTCATTTTAAATTGTAAAAAATCTGTGTTTTTGAAACTTATGAAAACAGCAAAAGTCTATGATTCATTTTCATCATTTAGCCTGTCATGTTTACTGCTCCCAAAAAATAGTTTTTTATCAAGACATTTTAAAAATATATATTTTAGAGTAGTAATCTCAATACCGTGATACACGAAACCGTGATTTTTCATCCAAGGTTATCATACGGTCAGCAAATACTGTCCAATCCTAAAATTTGTATTAATTAATTTATTTATTGATTGCTATAGCTTTCCAGAAAATGACACTTATGACTGGTTTTGTGGTCGCTGGTGACATCTGTAGTATATTTTGTGAGGAACAGTGTCTTCAACTAACTCTTTCTCTTATTGTCTTTTAGATGAGCCATGCGAGTGGCAGCAGTAGCACTCCAACACCTACACCCCCTACTGTGGCCCCACCCCCTTCTCAAACCCCAAACAACAACAGCCGAAACATTGCCGAACCCATAAGCAAAAGCACAGGTACTCCTCTCACCACAGCACCAGGAAACAAGCCATATAAATCAGCCTTAGAACAACATGTTACTTCCAGGAGGAGGAACTGTCCTGCAGAGTTTAGTTCCAGTCATGTCCAACTAGATGTTTCTAGGGTCTATCCCAAATGGGCACTTGAGGAAGAAGCTCTGGTTTGGAACAAACGTAGGATGAAAAAATGATCATTTGCCCTTTATGTGCATGAGACAGAAGGCTATCCCATTTATCATTTATTAATCATTCTTATATTTCAATGAACGCTAGCTTTCATAGTTTATTAAAGATGCAACATTGGCTGCACCTTTATTAATTATTATTATTTTCTAGTGAAAATAATCATATTCAGCATATAAATGATTTCACATGTTGGCCACAGGAGGCTTATGTACCCGTGTTTAAGTAAAACATGATTCTCGGCTCCTCAATTGCTGTCATAGGCTTAATGAATCATCTATTTTTGTTGTACATGTATGTGCAAGACATCATTCAAAATGGTAAATGATTTGCATTCATGTTTGTTTAACCTACTCTCCTAAAAATATCCCAATCATCCCCATCCACTGAATTGGCTCTATCACTATCACTTCACTCCACCAATAGCTGGTGTGTGGTTAGCACATTGGCGCCGTTGTCCTGTGACTGTCGTCGCATCATCCAAGTGCACACTGGTGGTGGTGTGGAGAGACCCCTTCTCATGATTGTGAAGTGCTTTGTGTGTATGGCCATACACAGTATATGCGCTTTATAAATACACGTTACATTACAACAGAAACACAGTATTTTTCTTATTCACAGATGAGGCACCACCATGTGTCTCTGTTTATAATGCTGTTATTAAATATTAATTAACATTTTATGTTTATTGTTTAACTGTTAATGTCTTTCCAAAAATCAAATAAAACGGGGAAAAAATTTATTAAATTAAACAAACATCCAAATTTTTTCTGTAATCTGTCTCAGCCCACCTTCTCATGGGGTTTGAGTGATCTAATTGATATTTGTCTCATATGCAGTTTAAGGGCATTTATTTATTCAATTCAATTCACCTCCATTTCTATAGCGCTTTTACAATGTAGATTGTGTCAAAGCAGCTTCACATAGAAGATTATAGTGATTTGAATCAGTGTCAGTTCAGTTTTCAGAGTTTAAGTTTAGTTCAGTTTAGCTCAGTTCAGTGTGGTTTAATAATCACGGCTGAAAGTTCAAACTTTGAGCAAATCCATCAATGCGCATCTGCCCTTTTCACAGTCAGATAGTTATCCGATCAGATATTATGCATGAAGTGCCCAGGTGTAAACAGCCCTTAGTAGTGGTCAAAAGAAGACAAGCTCATTCTATAGTACTCATGTGTTGCCATGAATCTTTTTCTTAAACTAGACAGTTTCACTTCAGGTTTTTCAGGCTTATTTGAAAACTACAGGTGTGTGTGTGTGTGTGTGTGTGTGGGAACAGGGTTGGAAATAGACTCTGCTGGATTATAACCCTCTGGGAACTGAACTTGCCACATCTGCACTAATGTAATGTAGAGCGTGACAAAATATGAGGCAAGTGTTTCAGTGCTGTTGATCACTGAATATGCATGCTAAGTAAGAGATGATCTATATCCAGGCAGTTGTTATCACAGAATAAAACCAGACTTATCGGCAGCCCGACGTATAGTGGAGCACTAGTGTTTATAAAAGTGGACTTTATTCTGTGAAAGCCATCGCCTGGATGTGCTTTATCCCACTTATTACACGGCTTCTTGCCACACACCATAAAAGTAGACACAAAACACTGAGTGAAATTAATTTAGTAATTGAGATCAAAGCAGACAGAAACAAAAATGGAGTTGAATGGAGCATACACTAACCTATACATTATGGTCACAAGATATCGCTAAACAGTTAAAAATAGCAGCACGTATAAGGATGTGAACGTATTAACTGATGATCAAGATGAGTACCCAGATGAGCTTGTTATTTAAATTTCAGCGGTTGTTATCTGTGAATAACATACCTTGCAATGTAGCGACTGACCAGTATGAATCAAGTATTACATACAGCCCTTTAATATTAATAATAAAAATAATAATAATAGTGATGTGTCCAACCTAAAATAGATCTAGCCCCATTAGTTTCTTCAATAAAAACACTGAGTAGCTCATTTCAAATTGACAATATTGCATTTTAACCTGTCATTAAAAAGTTAGTGACTGACTATTTATCCATTCAGTGACAGAGCCAGGTGTCCGTACAGTGGAGATCACGCGGGTAAGATATCCTCTGAATACTACTCCTTATACAGTGTGTGAGTTTTGTTTTTGGTGCAGATTGAACAGTGACTATCTCTCTCTCTCTCTCTCTCTCTCTCTCTCTCTCAGGGTCCCACAGATGCTCTGGGCATCAGTATAGCGGGTGGTAAGGGCAGTCCACTAGGTGACATCCCCATCTTTATCGCCATGATCCAGGCCAATGGTGTGGCTGCCAAGACACATCGCCTCAAAGTACGTTGTCCTTGCCGTTCGTTTCTGTCAGTTTTCTGAGAGTTATCGATTTAGCATTATGCTGGGGTTTGGGTGTGAAGGGCACCACTGGAGATTGAGTTTGTATCAGTGAGCATTTTTTTTCTCTCCTAGGTAGGTGACAGGATTGTGAGCATCAATTCTCAATCTCTGGATGGCTTGACTCATGCGGATGTAGTAAATATGCTGAAGAATGCTTACGGCGCCATCATCCTTCAGGTATTGCACTTAACTCAAATTGGCGATTAACTTTTGGTAGATTGCATATACTCGCAGTGGTGTACTGTGTGATGATTAAGCAAAGAAACAATATTGGCTAGATAACTTTATGTAAGGACGTGCATGCAGTTTTTCTATAACTGTTCAGCCATAATTTAACATGCGTTCTTACTAGTGATGCAATATTTATTGGCCACTGTATTAGTTCAGCTTGTTAAAAATATAAATTCATGTCCATATTTATTTCCTGGCAGTTCTTATATGATGTGACATGATGCACCGAGGACAACAAACACTTAATACACAAATACACTTTATTGAACATGCTTTTTTTTACATGCCAGTATTATTTCCATTAAAAGGACACTAATGTATATACTCAGGGGCACCTCTAGGGGGAGGGTCGGGAGAGTTTCAACGATTCTTAGGGGCCACGCCACTTTGGGGCCCCCTGAGTTAATATTAGGGGCCCCCAATCTCAATAACCCTCCAAACCAAACAGTGATCTTTACTTTCATCCGTAACACCATCAGAATGTTGTCATAGGGCCCATACCTGCCAGCCACGCCCCTTTGTATACTGTTTAATTGTAGGTTAACTGCTTTTATATACTACCAAACCTATACACAACTCCTTACCTTTTCTTATTTTGACTGTACTGTGATGATGTCCACCTTTTGTGAAGCTGATTTGGAACAAATTTCCAAATGTAAAAATTGCTATACAAGAAAACTTGAATTGAATTGAACAACGCAAATGCAAACTTTAGAGCCATTTGTTGTTTAGAAAAAACTTTTTGGGGAAATTTTGGAGAAGAAAGATTTTCATTTTATCAGTGACGTTTTCAAAATAAAACTAGTTATCTACTGTAGTTATTGATATACATTGGACCCTCGCTATTACGCGGTTCACATTCCACTGCCTCGCATTTTCGCCATTTTTTTTTTATGCGATTTGACATGCTGTTTTTCTACAGTACATTATTTTCTGCGTCCTGATTGGCTGTAGACCCTTGTTAATCAGTCTCCTCCTTGCCGTGTCTCCTGTACAGTACAGAACACGTTCAACTTGCCAAATTTACATAAATCTTCGATCCCTAGCAGTGTGACTCTGAAGTGCTGGGCTGTATGTTTGCAAGCTTTCTCCCCACAATGTCAACGAAACATTCTGCACCGTCAAAGGCACCTGCGGTAGCACCCAAAGAAGCTGGAAAGCTGAGATGCTAACCGTCGAACAAAAAGTTGGACTGTTTTTGACATGCTAAAGAAAGGTAGAAGTTGTGTGGCTGTTTGTGGTATAATGAATCACAAATCTCACGGTTCGAATCTCACTACAGTTTTTGAGTCAAATATTGGACCGATCAGCAAAAAAGGGAGGAGACAATGTCATTTGCTTTTCATTTGTACAAAATAAATTACTGCAATTATATTAAAGTTATATTCCGGGTGCGGGTCTAATCTATGCAAGCTATGATGAATATATGTATATATATGTGTGTATATATATATATATATATATATATATATATATATATATATATATATATATATATATATGAGGTATCGGCTCCAAAAAAATTCTGTCATTGCAATAGGTAAATTCCATTTCGGTTCATCGCTAATTTTTAACTTACTGTTTCTGTGTATCTAATGTTAGCCTCTCAATAAGGTTTTATTCAAATTCTTGCTGCAATTTCAGATTAATTGACCTGAAAAAAAAAACGTGCTGTAGCAATAGTGCCCCCTAGTGTTGCAATAAAGCTTCTGTAACATTTCGCAAACATAAACCCACCCGTTTGTGAAACCTCATGTTTTGTTTACACACTGTAATATTTTTCAGACACTTTTTTTCCTCTAAACCTGTGGTCCTCAAACTTTTTTCATCAAGTACCACCTTAGAAAAAAATTGTCTCTCCAAGTACCACCATAATGAGCAGTATTGAAATACAGTAGCGTAGTAAGCCCAGTAAAGCAGCTACAGTTATGCACAGTTCAAAAACGTGGCAGATTAATTCCTATTATTAAGAATATTTATTATTGTCAGCCACTATAAACATGAATAGTCTGAACGTTAACACTGTACTGTGCTTATATGTAAAAAAAAAACAAAAACAAACTAAAAACGTCAACATTTAAATTAAAATGTGCTTAAGGTAAAAAAAAAAGTGCTGTACTTAAATGTAAAGTATTAACATATAGTAGCCAATTCATTAACACCTGAATATGTTGCCTGGACCTCAGAAATATAGGCCATATAACGAATATTATTATATGTCATATCCATATATAAATCATTTTTGATAAACTTAGAAATATATGTAGCATTTACATATGACATATTTGATTCTTCCATGTACCACTAGAAGGAAGCCCGTGTACCACTACCACAGTTTGAAAACCTCTGCTCTAAACAGTTTGGCATGAACAAGTTATACAAAGAGCCAAGACTTTCAAGCGCGCGCCCACAATTCAAATTAGCCACAGTGTTCTCGCTCACTAGCTACCTAATGAGGGAACTCACATTAGGTAATGTGATTTGAAGACTTGTTAACAGGATTGCAGCACAGGGAATCTGTGGGCTGAACCAAAGCTTTAAGGAAGCCGCTGGCGCCGAAATGTGACCTGTGTGATGCTCAATATCCGACACTGTTCATTTCAAATGTTTTAGGAATCATTCATTACGTTTCTTCTTAATCCCCTGAAATGTTTACGTAGACCACTACCACCTTGATATGAGTTTCACATTTGCTTTTAGATATCAGATCTGCCATACAGAAAAAAAGGCTATTTTCAGAAATACCACGGTATTACCATAGTACCACTATTTATAAATATAGTATTGTAGGAGTTTTGCGTGTAGGTGCGGTTTCAATGATGTGTGTATACATGCTTGTATTATTGCTAAGCATAGCTGCTGTGTGTGTATGTTGTGTACGGTTATCAGTGTGTGTTCGCAGAGTCAGTGTATCGAAGGACAGTGCGCTGTGTATATGTGTAAGCCGGTGTTTGTTTGGACTCACAGTAGTGTGTGTGTGTGTGTGTGTGTATGTGGTTGGTGCTGTGTCACTGGGCTGTTATCAGCTGTGTGCAGCTGTGCGGCGGTTGCACGCGGGTTGCCAGATAATCCCAGTCCTTTATGCAAATGTGTTGTTATCTGTGCGGTTCCAGGAGGAATGCACAGGGCTTTTAAACAGGGGAGCCCAGCCTGCAAAGCCCTGATTACAGCAGCTCAGAGAACAATTATTGTTTGGCTCTCTCTCTCTCTCTCTCTCTCTCTCTCTCTCTCTCTCATCCATTGCCTCTTCACTGGTTTGAGAGATCGTACTCTCTCTCTCTCTCTCTCTCTCTCTCTCTCTCTCTCTCTCTCTCTCTCTCACTCTCACTCTCTCACTGCTATATGTTTAATTGGACACATGTAATGCCCTGTGCTATTACTCATGTCACAGGAATCAGACAGTTGTATATTGTTTGGTTAGTTAGATTGTTTGTTTGTTTCAAGTTTTCTAGTCCTTCTGGCTGTGATCATGTGCATTTTTTTTTTAGAAGTTTAGTATTTCACCCCCTGCCGAAGGGTTTATCTCTCACCAATTCTCCCACTTTGTTTTTCTTGCATTTACTTTTTTTGTTTTTGTTTATTTATTTCTTAGTTTATTCATTTATTTGTTTATATATTTATTTGTTTGTTTGCATATTTATTAATTTCTTTATTTTATGTTTATTTGTTTGTATATATTTCTTTCTTTCTTTATTTATTTTGTTTATTTATTTATATGTTTGTTTGTTTGTTTATACATTTATTTTATTTTGTTTGTTTATTTGTTTGTATATTTATTTATTTATTTTGTTAATTTACTTATCTGTTTTTTATTTTATTTATTTGTTAGTTTATTTCTTTATTCTTTTGTTTTTTTGTTTCTTTAATTATTTTGTTTATTTATTAATTTATTTTGTGGAAACACACACACAAAACTTATTAGTATGGCTGCTCAATATATGGTTTCAACACAGTCTGCAATAGTCACATCGCAGGATCTTCAATGTAGTTGGGATTATAGTTGATCAGACATTTGGTATAACATAGTAGAGTAATTTCTTATTTTAACCTTAAAGTGCAGGTTTATTTGCTTGTGTTTTTAAGACCTAGCTGTAAGAATCTGAAGCAAACTTGAGAAATTTGTTCACAATAAATTAAACGTTTGTAGCTTAAAGATTAATTGAACGTTATTTATTCATTCATTTTCTTTTCGGCTTAGTCCCTTTATTAATATGGGGTCGCCACAGCGGAATGGACCGCCAACCCATCCAGCATATGTGTTACGCAGCAGATGCTCTTCCAGCTGCAACCTATCACTGGGAAACATCCACACCCACTCATTCACGCACAGACGCTACCATGCTGCCCAAAATGAACATTATATAATTACTTACTCAATTAAAATGATAGTGTAAATATTATTATTATTATTATTATTATAATACAAGGATTATTTAATTTCTGCCTCTGAATACTGTCTGACTCCCTAGAAAATATTAAATGATTGTTTATTTGCATATTTTCTCTGTTGTATTTAACTATGCATGTCATTTTTTATATTATATTTAATGCCGATATGCTCCCCTACAAAATCATTCCACCCTAATTTTACAAGCTGTCCTAGTTATCTGGTGAAATTGCATTTATATTGCGATATATATCGCAGTGAATGTAAATATTGCAATGTCAGTTTTTTTCAATAGCGTGTAGCCCTAGTTATTACTGTTGTTATTTGTTGCTTGATTGGGTTTTGTACAAAAAAATAAATAAATAAAAATATTGGGTGCAATCTAGCAATATGATAAAAGTCATTTACAGTAGGAACTCGTAAGTAGCAACTCAGGAAAATGTGGTATCTACCCTAGCAACAGCACAGCAAGGTCTCAACAGTGGCTTGGCATTGTGCTAGCAACTGCATAGCAACATATTTAAAAGCCACTCAAATGTCCCTAAGGCAGAATTGAAGCTTTGCTGCAGCATTTTTATTTAGTTTTAATTTAATGAATTAATTATTTATATTTATTCATTCATTCATTCATTTAATTCATTTTCATTTTTTATTTAACTTGGCATGTTTTTCTTCCTCTTTCTTGCTTTTTAAAATTAATTTGTTTGTATTTTTAGCATTTTTTTTTCTTTTTTTTACTCTATTTTTTATTTATTTAATTTTTTATTATTATTTATATATTATGTAGAACCGGGGCTTTCAACCTTTTTCACTTCTGGGATCACATCTATTTCCGATCAGTTTTTGAAGGCCCACCTGTCTGATATTTTCTTTAAAATGTTTACATGAAATGCTCATTTAAACCTTTATTTATTACCAGATATACGAGAGAACCACAGGTCAACAGGGATATTGCAAAAGACCAACTTCTGCTTTAAACTGGACTGACTGAAAACTATTAAATATCTACTATTCAAAAATATGCAGACAAATATAAAATACAGTAAAACACCCTAAATCTGTTGAAATTCGTCAATCTGTTGAGATTGCTGCTGGAAATTATTGAGAGATCGCTGTCAGGAACAGTGAACAGCTCCGCCAGAGTGCATCTGAAGCTCATATGCTTATGGGCTCTATTTTGACGGTCCATGCGCAGAGCACAAAATGCAGGGCGCAAACGCTTTCAGGGCGTGTCAGAACGCATATTTGTTAATTTAAGGACGGGAAAATCCGCTTTGTGCCATGGCGCATGGTCTAAAGGGTTGAGTTTATTTTCTTAATGAGTTATAGGTGTGTTTTGAGAATAAACCAATCAGAGTCTCATCTCCCATTTCCAAGAGCCAGCTTCGTCGCGCCATAAGAACATTTGCTATTCACATGACGTAAAGTAAGTTCACTTTCGATTTTGCTCTCGTGGATAGGGAAACCTTTACGCACAGACATCAATTAGCCTATAAATAATTAATTGCGTTTGTTAAGCGCAAAGATTTGTTTCAAAACTATTTCTAAATTCAGTTCTAATTTCTAGCAAACGAATAAATGAACAATAATAACCAAGTGTGGTCAAAACACTGAGTTATATCCTACATGCTGTGCCCCATATGGTCTAAAACCTGACAGGTGGACAAATCTAAGCTTGTTTTTAATAAAATAAATATATATGGGTATAATAAATAAGACTGCTAATAATAATAACATTATACAAAAGCAAATTGAATGAACTGAAAAAGCCTCCCGAGATGAAGAAAGTAAAGGCAGTAGTTTTTAAATTCATGTAGGCTAGAAATTAATATGTTTTGTAAAATTTTAATCATTTATATTTATATCCTATATATATATTCTTATTATATCCTATATATATCCTTATTATATATATCCTTAATATATTATATCTTTTTCATATGTAAAGATATTTGCGTATTGCTCTACATCTTGTGTGTGTGTAAGCCAGGGGCACTTTGCGCCAGACAATAGACCGACTTTGTTCTGTCTAAAGAACAGACTATTTACAGTTTCTCAAAATAGCAATGCGCCAAAACACGCCTGCTTTTTTAGACCAGAACGCCTATGGGTGCACATATGAGTGCAAATGCATTTGCTATTTAAACAGTGTGGCGCAACATCTCAAAATGACCCTTGTGCCGAGCTGAAAGTAGCAAACAGCAGTTGCGCCTTGCGCCACATTGCACCGGGTGTATGATAGGGCCCTAAATGTTTATTCTACATTCTATGGCAGAGACACCATTGAGCCTCAGTAGATCTGCCAGTCTGTTATTAAATGCTCACAGGACATTCATTTATTTTAGACAATTATGCGAATATATTAAAAAGTTCACACAAAAATACAGAAAGAGAGGCTTTCGCTATACCATTGTGAATGAACAGACATGTACTATAGCTGCAGACTTGATCATGAGGCTGTTTTGCGCCAATTTTCAAGTTACCTATCAGAAAACAGGAGAAAGTGCACTACTTCATTCATTTTATTATAGCATATTAATAATGAAATCTAAAAATTATAGTATAATTTCGAGAGTTAATTTTAAGCTATCTTGTGGCCCACCTGCTGGATCACTGAGGCCTACTGGTTGAGAATCCCTGCTGTAGACAGAAAAAAATGCTTAAGGGGGCTAAAAATATTGAACATCAATGTTTTATTTTAAATTAAAACCTATTTTCATTCTAGCCTAAATAAAACAAACAAGACTTTCTCCAGAAGAAAAAATATTATAAGAAATACTGTGAAAAATGTCTTGCTCTGTTAAACATCTTTTAGGAAATATTTAAAAAAGAAACATTCATAGGAGGGCTAATAATTTCAGCTTCAGCTGCATATATTTATTTTCTTTTTTACTGTCTTTTTATTGGTTTGTTTTTCCTTTTTTATTCAGTCTTTCATTTTTGTTGATGCCTGTTTTCTTGCTTTCTTTTTTTATTAATATGTTTTTTGCTACAGTTTTTTTTTTGTACTTTCTTTTTCCCTTTTTCCTTCTTTCGATTGGTCTCTCTTCATTTCCCCTCTCTCTCTCTCTGTAGGTAAGATAGCGAGTCTGATGACTTGGGAGTGTTTCACTGTTGTTGTTGACTCTTTCATTAATTAGCTTTTGTTTATTGTTGTGTATTTTTACTTTTAATTGCCTTGCAGTTAATTAAATATGCAAATGAGCATGCCACTGCCCTCATAGCCAGCCCAGAGTTTAATAGAAGAGCAACATTTAAATGAAACGTGACAGGAAAAAAACACATTTTTGATTCCGGTGAGGTTTGATAAACATTTGCCGACAGTTGCCAAAAGAAAACACACATTAAAGGATTGTTAGGATGCATTTCCATGCCAAACACACACAAACACAGAGAGCAGTTTCCTGTTATCTACAGGCAGACAGTCATTGGTGGAAAAACACACTCACACACACACACACACACACACACACACACACACACACAAACATGTTTGTCTAGGTTCAAACTGGCTTTTATTAGAATGTTTGACGGTGCCCAAATATGATTGACAGGTGGTGGCTGACACCAACATCAGTGCCATAGCTAGTCAGGTGGAGAGTCTTTCCAGTAGCTCCGCCCCCAGCACCAACCCAGAGGTCCGATTGGTGGAACCCGAGTGAGTGACATCACCCATAATTTTTTTTATTCTGTTACAATATTTTTAATTGTTCGCATATGATTTGTGTTCTGCTTGTGTGTTTGATATTGTAAGGACGCCCAAGCCGAAGAGCATCACTCTAGAGAAAGGTTCCGAGGGCCTGGGCTTCAGTATTGTCGGTGGATTTGGGAGTCCTCATGGAGATCTTCCCATCTATGTTAAAACAGTCTTCGGCAAGGTAATCCTTTTACCATTAAATGACACTTAATGCACTTATAATATAAATGCACTTAAGATGTTTAGCAGAATGTTCATGCTGTTTTTTCCAAACTTTTTCAGAATTATGTTATCTTTTAAACGATGCAGACTATTTTGTTTAGGGATTATTAGGATCATTTTTGATTTATGTTATTTAATAATAAAGAAATAGTTTGGGATTCACTGACAAAAATACCCTTATGTTGTTTCAAACCTGTCCTGTTTTTTTTTTTACGTGGGGCTAAAATAGAGATGTTTAGCAAAATGTTCACAATGTACTTTTTCATACTTTTTTAAAATCATGTTATCTTTTAGAAAATGCTGTCTATTTTTTTAGGGGTTGTTAGGATCATTTCTGATTTTTGTTATTAAATATTGAAGAAATAGATTGGTATTCAAAGACAAAAATACCCTTATGTTGTTATGTTTTTTTTTATGTGGAGCTGAAATTAAGATGCTCAGCAGAATGCTCACGCTGCACTTTTTCCATCTTTTCTCAAAATCGTGTTATCTTTTAAATAATGCTGTCTATTTTGTTTAGGGATTATTAGCATCATTTCTGATTTATGTTATTAAATATTGAAGAAATAGATTGATATTCACAGAAAAAAAATACCCTTATGTTGTTCCAAATCTGTCTTGTTTTTTTATGTGGAGCTGAAATTAAGATGTTTAACAGAATGTTCACACTGCACTTTTTTATATACTTTGTCAAAATCGTGTTATCTTTTAAATGATGCTGCCTACATGTCTGAATTGAAGAAGTGGCATGGTGAAATTGAGCAATTTTTTTATTAAAAAGGAAATAATAAATATAATATAACTAGTAAATATTAAACATAAATGCAAATACTGTATGGAACAAAATTATAGAATAATACTCATAATGTTGTTATTCTAATTGCTAAATATTTACATTTTTAATTTCAGTATAATTGTTTTTGTAGGCGTTTCCCTACAAAAAAATTCCTGAAAATTGAGCATTATGCATGTATTAGAGCTGCGCCGATAAACGATATTATATCGAATCGCAATAAAATTAGTTACTAACAATAAGCTCTGGAGTTTTTTTTTTTACTCTATATTAATCTAACAGACAATCACACAGCCGAAATGTGCAACAATGGCAATCTAGAAGTTTGTTTATGTTACAGATGGACCGAATTTTCAGCCACAGAAAATTTCTCAGCCGAAAATATGCTATACCATTTAATGGACCCTTTAATTTTTGTGTCTTCAGTCATTGTTGGGATACTCTTTCAAATCTGGAAGCATTAACAACTTATATTGAAATATATATCATTATTTTTCAATATGGAAAATATTTATTGAAATTGCAATTTTGGCACTGGTATTTTGGATTGGTATTCACAAAAAAAATACCCTTATGTTGTTCCAAACTTGTCTTGTTTTTTTATTTTTTATGTGGAGCTGAAATTTAGATGATAAGCAAAATGTTCATGTTGCACTTTTTCATACATTGAAAGCAAATGGAGAGGTTTTGAGGTTCCGAAATGACAAAATAATCATGAAAAGATCACAAATGTTGTCTGACTCGATTCAAATTCATTTTAATCTAATACTTTATAAAACGCTATTAATGTACGTCATTTGTCACATACATTCTTCTGTAGGGCTTAAAATGAGACATTTAGTTAACTGTTCATGCTGCTCTTTTCCATTAAATGCAATTTTATGGGGTTTTGAGCTTCAAAAATGTTGAAAGTTGTTACTTGTGGGCCATATTTGAAGTATTCGTCAGTCATCTGAGAGCTCGTTTTTTTTAAATCTTCAGTGGAGGTTAAAATATAAATTTATATTTTTTATATTTAGTGACATTTTTATGTTTAGTAAAGTTTTTTGTAAGTGTTAAATTGTTTGTTGTCATATGTGACCAGTCATAAGGGTCAATTTCTGAAAATTTGTATTAGGGCTGGGCCAATAAACGCTATTATAACAAATCGCGATAATTGTTAAATGTATATCAATGATAAGCTAGACTTTTTACTCTGTACTGAATTAAGAGCCAATCACACAGCAGAAATATGCAACATTGGCTATCTAAAAGTCTGTCGACATTTAATGGACCCTCTTATTTTTGTGTTTATATCGTTCAATATGGAAAATAATTATTGAGATTGCATTTTTGCCATATCACCCAGCCCTAATTTATTGCTAATAAAAAAGCTTTTCATTGATGTATGATTTGTTAGCACGAGATATTATTTGGCCAAGACACAACTATTGAAAAATCTGTTATCTGAGGGTTTAGAAAAATGAAAAAAAAGGGAAAATGATCATTAAAAAGATCCATTAATGTTGTCAAATATTGATGTATTTTCTATAGGATATTTACTGAATTCCTCCTGTTTACATTTATGCTAAAATCTTTCGAATATATAGGTAAAAGGATCATTTTTGTTTCATACAATGTATTCTTGGCTTTTGCCTCAAATATACCTGTGCAGCATAATATTTTTTTTATTAAAAGTTTATTTATTTTTTTTACCTTTAAATTATTTAATTTGACCTAACTTAAATTTGAAGTCCTTTTAGTTAGTTAATTACAACCCAGGGTCACAAATGACAAAATATTTAAAAACTGTTTTTCATAATTGAAGTCAAATTAAATCATTTAAATTCATTTTATTTAATTTGATTACAACGTTCTTTGATTAAAAAAGTATATAATATAAAAAAATCATGAAAATACATAGAAATATAGTAAAGGTGTGAAACTGGCCACCAGTGGGCGCCGCAGAGCTCTGTTTCACACACACTCGCACATATCCATAGATAAAAACTTATGTCAGACCCTTCGTACTCTCCATATAAACACACACTTGATTTTTCTGAGAACTCCATAGTTTGCAATAATTAATCATCTTTAATTAACTTAATCTCATAACCACCCTCTTCTCCCTTCCTCCAGGGGGCAGCAGCAGTGGACGGGCGTCTGAAGCGCGGAGACCAGCTCCTGTCGGTCAATGGAGAGAGTCTGGAGGGCGTCACACACGAGCAGGCTGTGGCCATATTGAAGAAGCAGAGGGGAAGCGTCACACTCTCCGTCCTCACCTAACAAACACTACAATCACTGAAAACACACACACACATGTCCGAAAGAGACTCTTTGAATCCACAAAGTCATCTCGCCCTGTTACTGTTCGTGCAAACATCAATGCGAAGTGTGATCATAAAGGGAAATTCTTGTGCCGTCTTTGTCTTAGACTTGTAGCTTTTCCACAGGTGGCTGTGATGGTGAATTGTGGGTAAAGTTGATATGAGTGCTGGTAACTCAAGACCTGGAGGAAGATTTATAGTGGTAGACGAAATACACAGACTAAATTATAGTTTGAATTTATTACCATGTTTTGGGTATGTATACGTACACTGACAAACGCGCCTTATTTCCACAATTTATTTGCAATAAATGTAGTGTAGATGAGTTTATGGATGGGTGTTAAAAAGGGACTGACAGATGTGCCTTGGAACGGGCAGGTCAGAGTGTGCTGGCATGTTAGGGTTAGTGATTATTAGCATCATTTCTGATTTATGTTATTAAATATTGAAGAAATAGATTGGTATTCACAGAAAAAAATACCCTTATGTTGTTCCAAACCTGTCTTGTTTTTTTTTTTTTTATGTGGAGTTGAAGTTAAGATGTTTAGCAGAATGTTCACGCTGCACTTTTTCATACATTAAAAGAAAACAGAGAGGTTTTGAGGATTATCAAATAATCATGACGGAATCACAAATGTTGTCTTCCGGTGTGATTCAAATTCATTTTTATGCATTACTTTATGAAAAGCTATTAATGTAGGTCATTTGTCACACAAAATTTTCTGTAGGGTTAAAATTAGATACTTGGGTAAATGTTCATGCTGCTCTTTTTTCATTAAATGCAAATTTTGAGAAAAATGGTTGAAGTTGGTTCTTGCGGGCTACATTTGAAGCCTTTGTCGGTCAAATGAGATATGTTTTTTTAATCTCTTCAACAGTCATATAAGAGCTCATTTTTTAATACTTCAGTAGAGTTAAAAAAAATAGATATTTTGCAAAATGTTCACACTGCTTTTTTTATTCTCCAGTTCTTGTTCCATGCTTCAGTTCTTGTTAAAATCTGTTAAAATAATACAGCTAATAATATAGGTTGTTTTTGTAATTAGTTTAAAGTGAGATATTTAGCATGATGTTCCAGCTGCTCTTTTCATCTGAAGAAAATTTTTTGGTAAAAAGTGGAATGAAATTATTTCCAATATTTTGCATAAAAAATCCAGAAAAATTCCCTGAAATTACAAATTTAATTCTTTCAATTCAATACATTTCAGTTCAGGATGTTGATGGGGAGTTTTTTTTTAGATTTGAAAATCAAAAAAAATAACCAGAAATTATATATATGAATGGAAAATGTTCCCTGAAATTAAAAGTCTTCATGCGAAGCTATAATGCAAGACATTTATTACATCATTTATTTTAACTTTACCATTTATGGCTTTGGAAATCTTCAAATATAACACACAAGATGTATTTTTGTCCTTTTTGGAAAAGAGCAGCATTAACATTCTTTAAAATGTCTTTATTTGCCTTCCACTGAACAAGTTAAGCTATAAAGGTTTGGAACAGCATAAATAATCATAATTGCAATTTTAACTTGAACTATCCCACTCTCTATTATTTTGCATCGAGATTCAAAAATCTCAAAAACAATATGCATAACAGCTTTTTACAGTTTTTGTAATTATTTTTGACACAATTGTCATTTCCCTGTAAATATGTAATTTATTTCCTTTTAAGGGTGTTTTTGCATTAACTTTGAGATATTTAGTTAACTGTTCATGCTGCTCTTTTCCATTAAATGCACATTTATGTATTTTTGACCTTCAAAAATGATGAAAGTTGTTACTTGGGCTACATCTGAAGTCTTCGTCGGTCATATGAGGGATGTTTTTTAATCTTCAGTGGAGTTGAGAATAGATATTTTGCAAAATGTTCAGGCTGCTCTTTCCTTTCACCAGTTCGTGTTCAATGTTTTAGTTCTTGTTAAAATCTGTTAAAATAATACAGCAAATAATATAGGTTGTTTTTGTAAGTAGTTTAAAGTGAGGTATTTAGCATGATGTTCATGCTGCGCTTTTCATCTGAAGAAAAAATGTTTTTGGTGAAAAGTAGACTAAAATTATTTACAATAACAATATTTTGCATTAAAAATCCAGACAAATTCCCTGAAATTACAAATTCAGTCAATTCCTAACACGTATTTCAATTCAGGATGTAGATGGGGAGTTTTTTTAGATTCAAAAATGACAATAATAATCAGAAAAATGTCAAGAAATTTATATATATGAATAGAAAATTTTCTCTGGAATTAAAATTCTTCATGTAAAACTATAACACAAGACATTTTTGGCAATTTATTATTAAACTTTACCATTAATGGCTTCAAATGTAACACGCAAGATGCATCTATATCCATGGAAGTTGTTGGAAGAGAGCAGCATTAACATTTACAAAATTTCTCAATTTTGGTTCCACAGAACAAAATGAGTTATGAAGGTTTGGAACAGCATAAAGAATCAAAATTGTAATTTTTACACAAACTATCCTACTCTATTATTTTGCATCAGGATTCCAAATACACTACCCAAAACCATAACATAGCTTTTTACCATTTTTGTTATTAATTTCCACACAATTGTCATTTCCCTGTAAGTAAGTAATTTATTTCCTTTTTTTAGGGTGGTTTTGCATCTGTTTTGCCTTCATGAAGATGTCTCACGTCCTAATTTAACACTGTGTGTGTCTGTGTGTCACAATATGAGGAAATCCTGTGTCAGTCTGTCCTACAGGAAGTGTAGCAGGCTTTTGAGTGACTGTCAGGCGTGGAAAACCTCATCTAGACCATCTAGGATTTCGTAAGCACATCCTCATATGATGCCTCTTGAATTTTTGTGCCATGTGGACAGTGTGTTCAAAAGCTGTCCAGTGCTACAACCCTTTAAAAAGATTGCCTGTATCCCCCATGCCTGTCTTCCCGCTTTCTCTTGAAAGAAATGCAGTCTGCAATTTTCTGCTAGATCCTTTACATTTGGGCTGTGAACCGCAAATAAAAAACCGGCTTGAATCACATCCATTCATCAATTTGCACTCGGATGACTCCATGGCAGTGACCCGAAGTTAGTAACCCCTTTATATCAGACATTTTTCTGTCAGTGTAATGTTTTTACAGTCCAAAGAAACCATTTAGCTGCTTTCACAAAGTAGATTTATTAACATTTACAACACAAACAACTGGTCATTATGCTCTGTGGCTTCATTTTGGATGAGTAGAATTTATCTAAAGTGTCAGAAAAATAAAGTTATTTTCATTTTAAGTGTCTTTTGGGTTCTGTATAATTCTAATGTTTGAGAAGTATTTTTATTTATTTATTTTAGTGCGCAAAATACATTCACTTTACCCATTTCTCTTTATTTGTTTTTTTTTTAAATAATGTAATCATTTAGTTCATTTTTAATTAAATTATTATTAAAACATTATTATAGACATATTACATATAACAATTACGTATAACAAATGTACGTCATTGATCTTCACTGTAAAAAATGTTGGCTTCCACACAATTCCTTCATGTTCTCCCAACACAAATGAATCATTTTCACAAATTTAAGTGGATTGAAGATAAACCAATTAGGTTTCTTAAAACTACTCAAGGATTGTTGATTTAGCTCAATTTAAATTAGTAGTTTGAACAAACGGCGAAAATATTTTGTTGAGTGTTTGATCACGTCCCGAAATATTTATTGAGCAGCTAATTGGCATTTATTTGATTCATCGACTAAAATAGTGTTTTCACATGAATAAAAGTGCAGTTATAGATCAAATATACAATATTAACGATGTTTGTAAATGAACTGTAATATGAGCTGTATTTTACTGTAGGGCAGGTATGCAGTATGTTACTGTATTTTAAAGCTGCATTGTGAAAACGGTGGAAGTGGGGAGCTGTTAACCTCGACTGAGGATGCTGTCGGATGGTGAAAGGAATACTTTGAGAATCTCCTCAATCCCACTAATATGTCTTTCATTGAGGAAGCAGAGACTGGAGATGCAGGGGTGGACTCACCCATCACCCATGCTGAGGTCACTGAGGTAGTTTGCAAGCTACGCAGTGACAAAGCAGTAGGAGTGGATGGGATTCACCCTGTGTATCTTAGGTCTCTGGGTATTATGGGGCTGTCTTGGCTTACACGTATCTACAGTATCGCATGGAAGTCGGCAACAGTACCGCTGGACTGGGCAACTGGGGTGGTGGTTCCTATTTTTAAGAAGGGGGGCCGGTGGGTGTGCTCTAACTAGGGATCACACTCCTTAGCCTCCCTGGGAAATGGCAAGGTATTGGAGAGAAGGATCCGGCCGAAGGTTGAACCTGGGACCCAGGAGGAACAATGCGGGTTTTCGTCCAGGCCGTGGTACACTGGACCAGCTCTTTACCCTCCCCAGGATCCTCGAGGAATCATGGGAGTATGACCAGCCAGTCCACTTGTGTTTTGTGGACTTCACTTTCGCCAATTTGTGAAGTTTTTTTCCCCCTCTCTGCTGTCGCCACTAGCTTGCAAGGTTTGGGATCTGTAGAGCTATGCATCGATGGATTTGCTCTCCAGTGCATAACCCTCAGTAGTGGTTATTAAACTACACTGAACTGAACTGAACTTAATCACTAAAAAAGCTGAACTACACTGTTCCAATTTCCTATGATCTTTTATGTGAAGCTGCTTTGACACAATCTACATTGTAAAAGCGCTTTAGATATAAAAGTGAATTGAAAAAAAAAAAAAACTTGGAGAAGGCATTTGACCTTGTCCCTCGTGGCATTCTGTGGAGGGTGCTCTGAGTATGAGGTCAAAGGCGTTCTGTTAAGGGTTGTCTCTTCCCTGTATGAACAGAATAGGAATTTCGTTCGCATTGCCGGCAATAAGTTAGACTCGTTTATAGTGCATGTTAGACTCCGGCAGGGAGTCCCCAATTCTGTGGTTCGGGGACCACAGGATCTCATTTCTGTTATTCACAGATAATGTTGTTCTTTTGGCTTCATCGAACATGGACCTTCAGCATGCACTGGCGCGGATGAGAATCAGCGCCTCCAAGTCCGAAGCCATGGTGCTCCGCCAGAAAAATGTGGTTTGCCATCTTCAGATTGATGGAAAGTCCTTTCTTACCCCAGGTGGAGGAGTTCAAATATCTTGGGGTTTTGTTCACAAGTGAGGGAAAGATGGAACGTGAGATTGACAGGCGGATTGGTGCAGCAGTAATGAGGTCGATGTACCGCTCCATTGTGGTAAAGAAGGAGCTGAGCTGAAAGGCAAAGTTCACGATTTACCGATAAATTAAGTTCCTACTCTCACCTATGGTCATGAGCTTTGGGTCTCGGATACAAGCGGCCGAAATGAGTTTCTTTTGCAACATGGCAGGGGTACCTTATAGGAGAGGGGAAGCTTGGAGTAGAGCCGCTGCTTCTCCACATCAAGAGAAGTCAGCTGAGGTGGTTGGGGCATCTGTTTTGGATGCCTCCTGGACCCCTACCTAGGGAGGTGTTCTAGGCATGTCCCACTGGAAGGAGGCCTCAGAGAAAACCCAGGACACGCTGGAGGGACTATGCTTCTCGGCTGGCCTGGAAATGCCTCAGGATCTCCCCGGAGAAGCTGAAGAAAGTTTCTGAGGAAAGTGAAGTCTGGGGTTCTCTCCTAAGACTGCTGCCCCCGCGACCCGGCTCCGGAAAAGCGGATGAAAATGAGACGAGATGAGTTTTTTACTTTTGAAAAATTAAGTTACTTGAGTTACTAAGCTAAGTTACTTTGGAAAAGTAATGCATTACAGTACTGAGTTAGTCCCAAAAAAAGTAACTAGTTGCGTTTTTTGCGTGTTTTAGTTGCTTTTTATGGTTATGTATTCCAATACTTTTGTGTTACTTTTCATTACCTTTGCTGAGGCTTAATTTCTTTCAGAACTTTTTAAGAGGAGCTCTGTATTTATATACACACTGTATAAACTACACCTTCACCTAGTTTAGCAATGTGTTTGCTACTTTCTGTACTTTTTGTTTTATGCAAAATCACTGTCCATTGAGACAATCCCCTTTATCTTTTCTTTGATGCGTTAAAAATAATAAACTAATTCTCTTAATGAGTGTGTGGTTCAACATGACCACAGTACATTAATTTTAATTCAGCAATTTATTTTTTAAAAGCTAATCAATTAAACTAAACAGTAAATTTTAACATTTTTAAAAAAGTAACTCCTATATTATTACTTATATTTTTAAGCAATGCATTAATGTTTCTTATAATGCATTACCCCTAACACTGGATCGACATATTCTGTAAATACATATACAGCAAGATAAATAGAGCTGTAAATAAATTATTTTTGCTGTAACTGATTTACAGTAAGTTACTCTAGATTCTACAATAAATTGTTAACAGTGCATGCAGCTTTAGGAGATCTAAATTAGAGAACCATTTCATATATAAATGGGTCTCTAACAGTTTATTGTAAATTGATTTACCATTAAATTAAACCATTTTCACTGTTAGTCTTTTTCAAAAAAAAAAGAAGGGTAGAGTATAATGATTTATTACTAAAAGAGTTTTTTTCTGATATTTGCACGATTGAAACTGCTACAAAAACTGACGCCCTCTAGAATTAATAAGTTAGTGTTTAGTCGATTTGTAAATCAACAAAAATCACCTTTGGTACAAAAAGAAAAGCTGTGTCGGCTATTAAAATTATAACCGTTTACAACAGAATTAAGTTTAGCATTGTGCTGACACTGACATTTCCTTGAAATTACATTGCAGTGACTTTTTCTTCAGTCTGGTGAACGATTACATTCTCATACGTGTTAGGACCATCACCGCTCCTGAAAAGCAAATGTAAACATTATCTTTAATAGTAAGATATGGTCACTATAATCATGAACATTAATATTTAAAGCTTGAAATACGTTGTAAATGAGTGTTCAGCTTTAAAACATTGTGTTGCATTTAATTTCTTTCCACAGATCAAATTGCATTTTAGTCCCTGTAAAAAGACACTGTAAAAGCGATTACTTGACATTTTAGAGCAGTGAGTAAACCTGTTACATTTAAAGTGATAAGCTGACCTTAACAATAAAGTGGGGAAATATGTTGACTTTAAATAATAATTAAATCTACTATATTCATAATCATTTAAAAAAATTGTAGATAATTTTAAAAATTGTAGATTTAATGGTTCCAAGTTATAACAGGTTTACTTGACCTTGCTTGGAAAAAAGTGAGCAAACCCTTTATTTTTAAAGCGATTAATTGACTTTACTTTTTTATGAATAAACCAGTTGCTTTTAAAGGGATTAGTTGAGTTTACTTAAAAATTAGTTAACCCTTTGCTTTTACTCATTTTAAGTAAAGTCAATTAACCCATAAAAGTAATGGGTTTACAATTTTTGTTAAAAGTGGTTAGTTGACTACATTTTTTATTTCAAAAGTGAGTAAAATGCTTGCTTTTAAAGTGATTAGTTGACTTTACCTAAATTTTGTAAACCCATTCATTGACTGCTTTTTTGTGAGAGAGCCTGTTGCTTTTAAACAATTGTTTGACTTCACTTTTTAATTAGCACTTTTTTAGCGATTAAACCCATTGATTTTAAAGCCATTAGTTGATTTAACTGGTAGCAATTTCAAATATTTATACACAACTTAATGTTTGATTTACTAATATGAACTAACTATTAGTAATATATTGTGGTAAGTATTCGCTTGTTAACGTTAATGTTATTTAGGTTAAATAACGTTACCTCATGTTAACTCACAGTGCATTAACTAATGGTAACAAGCACAATATTAGATTTTAATAATGCATTAGTTAATGTTAAACTGTGACTAATAAATGCTTTACAAGATTATTCATACTTATTGTTAGTAAATACATGAACATTAACTAATGTACCATTATTCTAAAGTGTACTTTTCTTAAGTGAACAAAATGCTTTTGAAGCGATTAGTTGAATTAACTTTTTTCAAATTAGTAGACTCATTGCTTTTAGAGTGAATAGTTGACTTTAGAAAAATAAATCAAGTTTTAAAGCGATTAATTGACTTTACTTTAAAAGCAACAGGTTTACTCTCTTTTTCAAGCCACTAGTTGACTATACTTAAAGTTGGTAAACCTGTTGCTTTTAAACCGATTGGTTGACTTTACTTTAAAAATTGAGTAAACCCATTGCTTTTAAAGGAACTAGTTGATGTTGCTTTTAAACAAAAGAGTAAACCCCTTTGCTTTTAAAGCATAAGTTGACTTTAAAAAAGAAGTGAGCAAACCTGTTTACTTACCATCATTTAGTAAATGATCTATTTACATAATTATGAAAATTGAGTCAATTTAACAGGTCCAAGTTGCAAAGGTTTACTCACTATTTTAAGCAAAGTTAACTTGTCACTTTTAGGGCAATAGATTAACTCACTTTTTTTAAGCAAAAGTAACTAATTACATTTTACATTGCAGTTTTCAATGAGCTCAATCAGTAAAAGTGTGTCTATTTATAGTATTGGATCAATCTGAGCTTTATAACGGTTGTATAATAGAGGTTTTATTTACCTGACTGCGTCAAGACTGGTTTCATGGATTGATGATCCATTAGTCATGGCGTATGCATTCGGTATGACTGCTTCTGGTTGGCTTTAGTCAACAAAGATGGATTTAAATAGTGTTAATACAACTATATTTGGAAAATAGGGGATTTACGTGAACAATCTTAAAAGATATATAAACAAATAGCAATAAAAAAACATACAATAATGTTAAACATAAAATGCGGTACATGTGACTTCGTAGATATAGAGGGTTCATTGGTTTGAATAGATTATAAAAACTGGCAGCAGAGACCAAGAGGAATCCTTCAAGTTTCCATTAGAACTTTATATATAATTCAGATAAATTTAGTCAATACTCTAGTAGATATTGTTACACTAGTATTTACTCACTAGTACCTATTTAATCGATATGATTACTTATTTAAGTTTTTTATTCTACTTGTAATTTGCTTTGTGGCTGTTCTGACTAGTTATAACATAAAAACGAGTCAAAACAAAAGCAGGTGCAGCTATTAGGAAAACTTTTTCATTACAAACGATACTAGTGTTTAATAAAAAAGTGCTGGTATTTAAGAAAAGGGATCTTATTAAAAGTATTGGTGTTTAATGAAGAATCCCAAATTATCTAACAATGAATTATTGGAGTAATAAATACTAGTATATATTAAACAAAACTAGTATATATTTGATAGGTATGATTATGGGTACAAGTATCTAATGCTTAACTACTATCTAATGTACTAGTATCAATACTGAATAACTGTACTGTGTAGTAGTCAAAAACATTCTAGTCAACACTAAAGAATTGATTTCTCAGTGACAGATCTCCATAAATCAAAGGCAACTATAAATATGTAATATGTACCAATAAATAAGAAATTAGACTAGAACTTATGAATAGGCATGCGGAGATACAGATTTTTTTTTTAGAGTGCATAGTTATAAGAACATAGTTATAAGGACATAGTTAGTAAGAGTCACTTAAGTGTTACCAGTAGCTAACCACATGAAAAAATACTGTAGTAATTGATAGTAAATACTATAGTGTTTATGAACCATATATTGTAAAGTGTAGCCTATCAATGCATTTACAACACTAATGAATACTCCAGTATACTGTTAAATAAATAAAAAAAAAAAAAATATATATATATATATATATATATATATATATATATATATATATATATATATATATATATATATATATATATATGGCTGATTCCAGCGTTATGGACGTGACATTTGCAGTAAAAAAAATGAAACGTATATCCTCAGAGAAGGTATATGTTAACAGTATATTGAAATATATGTTTATATTTTTCTTACCCCTTAACCATGGAGTTCAGGCATCAAAAAATATCAGTCTATGCAGGTGTTTTATATTTAAAATGACGGCAAAATGAATGCGTTACGGACGTGACAAAAAAAAGACATGAGTTTTGTGAGTTGACATACTTTGTGAAAATTCTGTGAATGAAAATGCAGAAGCCAAAAAAATATATAACAGTCAAAAGGATAAGAGTTGGCTCTGCATGGGACATATATAATTTATTTTATTTAGTTTTTCATTTTTGCATTAATGAGGAAAAACTATCGTTACGGACGTGACTTGTCTTCGTTACGGACGTGACTGCTCTGAAATTGACAGTTGACACATTATGAAAATCAGATAAATGTGTTCAAAACTTGACCAAAGACCTATTTGTGGATATCTGTTGGGTGTGTAAACCAATAAACTTTAACCTCTGAGACATCTGAATGGTAAGGTTGCACAATTAATCAAACTTAAATAGATATCACCTTGTTATATTTAATTCATATTATGGCATGTGTGTTGTTAAAGGTTAACGCAAGTTCGAATGTTCAAAACTCAATTCGGTAACAATGTTGCATGCTAACATGGTGCTTTTATGCTCTGAATAATATAGAATTGATAATAAACATAATCAGCTATAATGGGCCTATGTTTAGCAGGCTCCTAAAGTTAGTGTTTCCAGACAAACTTGAATTAAATCATTGCCCGACTGTTGCGCAAGACCGTGTCTACGTGGAGAATATTTAAAATCTAGTTTTGTCACAGATATGGCAATATTATATTTGACAGTTTATTTTAGTTTATTCTAGTGAATGTATTAGTTGATGGAATAAATATGATTTCTCCACTCGCGCTTGCTTTCTTTTTCTCGTCGGCAGTCACTTCAGGACAGGTTGCAAAAAGTTCATACGCACCAGGGTGAGAGAGAAAACTTTAAAACTTAAGAAAGGTTTTGTGTAGGCTATGTTAAACAAGCATAGAAAAATAGTCATTGGTTGTAGGCATGTACGATGGATGACTATAATGTTTATATTTTTAGGCTATAGTTCATAACCGATTGTGTAAAATATTGAATTAAATATTTACAGCTGCAGGTCCTATCGATTTTCTAACAAATTTAATACTCATATAATTTAGTTAAAGCTTAGATCAATATCAAGATTTTATTCTTATTTTATTCTTATTGTTATTAAAATAATTTTAATAAGCACTCAAGCGCATTTGCCGGGTGCTGGAAATCTTTGAAAATGTTTCAATTTTAATGTAGGCTATAGCCAATTTTCAAGTTTTGAAAGTGCTTAGATTTTGGATAAAGGGCTTGGAAAATGAATTGTGTCGCTCTGATAATTTATCTTTATAAATAGTTATTTAATTAATGAAATAAAAAACATATTTATGCTCTGCATGAAATGAAAACTCCGCTGTGGCCTGACCCGCGGCGTGCGCATTTTGAGCAGTGGGAAAAGACCAAATGCATGGAGGTTATTGATTATGCGCCTTGCGCGCCTCGCGTTTTGTCATTGCGCGCTTCGTGCGCTCCAGAAGAAAAGCATGTTACCTCAGTGGCGTCTTTCATTCTTCAATCAAACGAAAGCAGAGGCGGGGTTTCCTTGGAGGTGACAGCAGTGTCAAGATGACTACGGCGAACTTTTTAATGACGGAGAGACTTGTGGTCGCTGTTTTAAGTCATCCAAAGTTGTATGACTTTACAAATCTTGAATTTCATTATGTTATTTAAAAAAATTAATTATGAAAACATTGACAGCAACACTCGCGCACAATAGACCAGCTGATTCAGTTGTTATCTATAGTGACATTCAAAAGAGCACCGTGCTCCTTTTCTTCTTGTCAACATGCATTGCGGAGCCCCTCACGTCTCTGGAATGAAGAAGCGCGTTCGTTGTGATCGGCTTTTATGAGCAACACATATTTGTTAACTCGCATGACAGTCCAAACACACGTGCTTACAGATGTTTTTTGCCAAAAAAGCAAAATGAAAGAAGGATATTCTGGCCACAGTTTGACACAGGAGTTGACGAACCAGCGCTGATCCTGGTCGTCTGTGCTGCCTGGAGCCGCGTCATAAACTCAACTAGGCATATTCATGATTTAGTGCAGACTACAATCAACAAACCACCCTTTTTCCATTTGGAAAATAACAGTTATTAATAGTTCTTATATACATTTTAAATAGCCTAATCTACAAATCCAACAAAGACAAATATTTTATAACTTCGCACCAAACTGATGCTTTCATTTTACAGCTTATAAAACATGTATGCAAATTAATGCAGTATCACACGTAAATAACAAAATTGTTATATGCTTAGCCTATACTTTACAAAATGTATAGGTTCAAAGCCTTATGGTTCATTGTCATTATCTTTCACTAAAGGCAGCGCGTGCACACATGAACCGCAAGTAAGACGAGGAAATAGGTTAAGTCATTATGGCCAATTATGGCAATATGTAAAATGTTGTTTTCTTATTAAACATTTATTTCTGAAATGTTGCTAAAGTGGTTTATAATTAAATGAAATGTTCAGTTGTTGATATAACATATGGATGTTGTGTAATGTAAGTCAGTAATTGTAATGCAGCATTATAATGAACAAATATGCGCTAGTCATTGGCTTATATTAATAAGGAGTTCAAAAATGGTCACGTCCGTAACGCAAAATTGTGGTTGTTTAGAGCAAAGACCTGAGATGAGTTGGCGATCATAATTAGTATGGACATATTTTGGCTTTGTATACAAAGTTTCATTTTATTTGTTATAATATTTATTCCACAATATAAACTTTTTCATTAAATCGTTACGGACGTGACACGTGACCGAAGCTGCGTGATGTCTTAAATATGTAGCTCATAAATCAAAAGGGCAATAATGTTATGAAAAAGTAAGGATAATTATTTATACTACAGACTCCAATCCTTCTGCAGAATGATTACTGTTAACATAAAGCATGGAAAAGGTGAGTCTTTAACCCCTTTTTTAAAAGCACGAAAAGTGGTTGGATGATAATGAAAATTAGCATTGGCACAATCCTCATATTTCATGGATAAACAAAACAATTTCCTTAAAAATTCAACAAGAGCACATCATAACAATAAAATATATACCTTAATAAGCAAATTGAAATAGGTTTTGTTATTTTGGTCAAAAGTTTATTTTTTCATGATAAGGTTGACATTTTCATGGAATTGCTCATATATATATATATATATATAATAAAACTAGTGGGACGTGTTTATAACTATAGTTATTTTAAATGATCACAAATATTACTTCGTGTTTTAGTATAGTTCAAAAACTCTAGTATTTGTTCATGTAACTAGATATGAATAACTACAAATACTTACCGGGGAAAAACTAACAAACAGGTGTATCATAAAAATGGACACTTTTTTATTAAAAAAATACTTCATATTTGATGGTGAGTAAATGGCGGCAAATTGTCATTTTTAGTTTAACTTTGCCCCCTCAATGTTAAATCAATGTTGGTTTAAGTAAGGTGTTAAAATAAACATTTATCACCTTGGGTTGTTACACCAGGCTTTGTTTACAAGGAAGGAGATGAAGACGAGAAAGAGGAACACGGCGACCGCGATGATTCCCGTCAGCCAATTGGGCAAAGCTCGCCCCGCAGTCTCTGAAAGAAACACAAACCATATAACTAATGAATTCTGACGTTTATAGTAATATGTCTTAGAGGATGCTGTTACTTTCTACTAGACATCCCTTCAAAAATAAATAGCCTAACTTACCTGCTTGAGCCGCAACAAGTCCCAATGTGAGCAGAAACCAGTAAAACACAGAGACTGGTTTTCCCATGTTTAATTCCTCTTTAAATGCGCAATAACAATTCAGTGCTCGAATCTGAAACCCTGTATGGAAGTGTTCTTTCACCAGGAAACTTCACTGGATGAAAAAAGACGGCACTAGTGGTCCAAACAGGTCGAGTCAATCATTTACCCGCTTCATGATATGAACCACCGCGGATGAATAACAGAGATGAGCAGATTGCATCTAAAGTAGGCCTAATCAAATTGTGATTTTTTGATATGAACTGCATAAATAGTCATGCCAGGCTCTTGAGGCGTCGATGGAGCTGTTAATCCAGTGAGGGAAAGTTTAATCCCGCTGTACGGAAGGTGAAGACGTTAGATTTCCGTGATAACCGTGTTTGTCTGGTTGGCATTCCATGGTTTTCAATTAACGTTAGTAAAGATCTTTGACACATTGAACCCAACTGTACCGCGTTGCTTCTGTGAAAGTTACAGTTTAGCTAAGGACAACTTTCACCATTTTTGACATCATTGTTTTAATGGTTTAGCAGTCCCGTGGTAATTAATTCATAAAACGCTTGTCGGCTAACACATTTCTGAGGTAAATCCAGATCTATTAGCCTGCTTGCAAATAATATCACAGACAAGATTTACCCAAACCCGGATATCTGAAATTTAAAGAGTGTTTGGCCTGAAATATTTTGTGTACATCGATCTTATAAACATCTTTTGGTTTTGTTGTTGTTGATCAAACACTCCACATGTGAACTCAAACATCAAATAGACATCTCTGCAACGTATACAGGGGTTCCTGGGTGAAAAGAACTATTATCAATACCAAGGTGGGTTTGATTCCCAGACAAAGTTCATTAATTTTCTATAGCTATTTCTTGAATTCCTAAGATTATGTTAAAGCAAAATAACCTAATTCATTGACTATATTTCAATAAATATCTAAAAAATTGTTTAATAAAATGTCATTGACCTTCAATGTGTATTTTTCCCCCTTTGTTTGCCTTTGCTATGTCTGTATGTCTTTACAGTTATAAAGCCAATGCACTGTGCAAGATTAATAATCTATTGTAATAAGCATATTGGCAAAAGTCAAGAAAATTCCTAAAGTTTGGGTGAGGTTTGACTGTTTTATCGCAAATCGATGAATTAGCATTCGTTAAAGGGTTAGTTCAGAAAGAAACGAGTATTTGGTTTACACTGTATTTTATAGTATCTACAATTCATGCTATTATAAAACTTAACTAGGTTAATTAACTGCTTGTTAGTAGTAAAACAGTGATTTTGGGTATTGATGTAGAACAAAATCATATTTTATAAGTAGGCTACTAATAAACAGTTAATATCTTAAAATAGGCATGTATTAGGCCAGTAGTTAAAAGTGTGAATTGTTACTTAAACTAGTTAAATAAATTTCTGTTATAAATCACTGAAGCATCAGATTGCCCATAGTAAACCTCACCCTGATCTGGAGTAGGAGAAATAGATGGACAAAGTCATATTTACAGTTTTTCTTGGAGCTATATATGAGTTACTTGGTGCACACCACATTAACTAGACAGTTGTTTGCAAAAAAAAAGTACTAAAAAGATTTATTCTTGTACAGTGTCTGCATGCTTCTCTCTGTAATTTAAGAGCAATAAGAAAAAAAAACAATTCATCAAGTGCATCTGTACCAACTGACATGTTTTGATCTTCTAATGAGTTATGAATTTAATTTGTTTGTGCACCACTTTTCAAGTCACCAATTTTTTTTTTTTTTTTTTACAAATTATATTGCAAAATCGTTAAAAAGATTTACTTCTCCATCATTTGCGCAGTGGCAATTTGTAACTAATTTACATTTTAGGAAATTAGAGGCTAATTGTTATAAACTCCCTTGTGTATTTCAATCCAATTCATGTTTTTCTATAGCGCTTTTACAATGTAGATTGTGTCAAGGCCTCTTAACATAGAGTTTCTAGTAAAGTCCAGATTTCAGAGTTGAGTATTTCCATACTGCTCACACAAATTGTAAAGATTATGGTGGGATCTTTACTTAACATTTTTTAATCATGTGTTTTGTACACAAATAATTGCAAGTATAAATGAATTACCCACCAATTCGCCAAATGTTAAATAGTAAAAATATATGTTAACATGAAATCACGTTGGTCCTCTGTAGCTATGCATGGGTCGGTATAACATTCTAATGGTATGATTACCTTGGATAAAAATTTCACGGTATTGTGCTCACTGCTCTAAAATATGTTTTTTTTTTAAATGTCTGGGTAAAAAAAACAACTTTTTTCCCCTTTAAATGCAATATATTTGATTATTATTTATTTTTTATTTTTTTGAAAGATTTATAATATTTTGTAACAGTAAACATGTCAGGCCAAATAATTCAAATGAATCATTGACTTCTACGGTCTTCATTTGTTTCAAAAACACAAATTTCTTTACAATTTAAAATAGCATCTGTGGATATTTTTTTTGCTGGAGATATTGTTGTACTTAAAAAAATGAGCTTAGGAACAGTATTTAAGAAAATGTGGGCAATTTTAAAACCTTGACTTTTCCAAAGCGAGGTATACCTTGAAAATGATTATTGACCTATGCCTAGCAGCCACATGTGAGAATGTAAGAATCTATTAGCATGGCAGCCTTTAAAGAAAATGATAATATTATATAAGTGTTTACAATGAAATGGACCATTGTTTGTAATATTGCTGCTAAACTGAAAAATTAAATGGTACTAATATTAATTCACATTTGCACATGGTATTAACATGTTTTATTCTGTCTAATCCCAAGTCGACTGTTACAAATACAGAATGAAATGCTGTCTAAAATGTTTTGTGCTTGTCTGCTTTCAACAGCTTCCTGTTTACACCTGATATTGAAGATGTGTTTTCAGCTGTCCCGTATCAAGCAGACAAACAGTACTTCAGAGGTATTTAAAAAATACTGTACATTTATGAAATGTGCTTCACACAGATGAGTGGGCTTGACAAACCACCGGTAGAAACAGTCTTCTCTCTTCTCTTACTTAAAAAACTCCCCCTCCTTACTCCAGCATTTTAGGGTGCCTTCACACCTGCCTTATTTAGCTCGGTTGAATTGCACTAGAGTTCGTTTTCCCTATAGGTGCCGTTCGTTTTGGCAGGTGTGAGTGCAGCAATCGTACTCGAGTGCGCACCAAAAGCGGACCAAAAAGCAAACCGAGACCTGCTTGAACAGGTGTTCGTTTGTGGTGAGAATGTGATCCGTACTAAAACAAACCCATCCGCAAAAAGTACTGCATCTTTTGGACTAATCCAGCTGCCGTAGGCCGATGAGGTGTATGGGATATGGAGGAAAATATTTGTTGACAGCGCTTTACCAACAGAGAGAGAGGGAAAAACATTACCTGATGGATCGTTGATAATATTTCAGCAAGATGACCATGTTGCAGTTTAGCTAAATTAATTCACGCTTTCTCCTGAAGTGACGAGCGATGCATTAAAACATTGTTTTTCAGCCGCGGCTGCTCTTCATTCTCAAAATGTATAGTTTGTTTAGAGCAGGAATACAATCAGTCAGCGTCGTCCCTCCAGAGTAAAAAGCGAAATTTTGTGTTTGCCGGTTTGTTTACTTGCGGGAGTTCATTGGCATTTTCCCGCACGTGAATTCTGACCAATCGATAAGCAGTTTAGGAACTATGTTCAACAACATCTGGCCAATGAGAGATGTGGATTTTGTCAGATGAGTGCAGTTTGGTTCTTTTTTTTAACTGGTTCGGACCAAAGCAGTCAGTGTGGTGTGAAAACGACCCAAAGACGGCAGAATATTCAACAATGTATCATTTGTTCCAGACCAAATGAAGTGAACTACAGATGTGTAAGCACCTTAACTCTCTAAACCAATGACTGTAAATAATATGGCCGACGCGACAGGCCCTTTTCCCATTGAACGCCTTGAGGGCAAAACGCCTGCTTGACGGGCACAAACTGTCGCAAAAGACTGCTGAAACTGGAGCCTTGACATGCGCAGAAGGACTGTCTGATGGAGTCAGAGGAGGAGCCGCGAAAATGAGCGGAGTCGAGCTTCCAACCAAACGCTTTATGTAAAATCAACCACGCCCCCCGAACTCAGCATGCGTTTGCTGTCATATCAACACAAATGGATGTAATAACGTTAACAAATATGAGGGTTTTATATATTCATTCGCGCCAGCTCCGGGCCGCAGCGCATAACCTACTCGCGGCGTCGCGGGCTGATTCCGGCTCGCATGCGGCAGCGCCGGCTCGCTCGGCCGCCGCATCTGGCTCGATTGACTCGGGCTGGAATCGGGCAGTGAGTCCAGGCATCCGGAGTAGGTCCAGCAGAGGTAGTCAGTCTGAGCTCTGAGGGGTAAGTCTCCGGCAGGCGAGAATCTAGCTGGAACTGGCCCGAGTGTGTTTTGCTATCTGGGTGGTTAGGTGTGTATCAGCAAACTAATAAAGCCCGAAAAAAAGCCCTGACCTTAGCGAATAAACAGTGTTCCACCAGATCATGTATGTCAGAAACTGTAGTTTACTGCTGAACTCATTTTGTCATGGTAAAATAACACAGAAATCGAATAATAACACTTCAGTCTCCTGCCGAAGCTCAGACACGCTGCTTTGAGAAACTGTCAATCACAGCTGTCAATCACGATGACACGCCCAGCATTAAATTACTGCTAAAAACAAACTGTTTACAAAAATTAAGATCTGCACCTATTTCAGCACAATAACCAGTGCCTTAATCGACCAGAACCATCTTTCGGGACATTTTATTGCAAGTGTAATCATTTTTTTTATTTGGGCTCAAATCTCCTTCATTAACATGGAGGAGGCGGGCTTTATGACTTGTACTGCAGCCAGCCCTCAGGGGGCGATCTAACGGCCGAGACCTTCACTCAAACGCAGGCTTGCGGCACACTTGCTCTAAACACTAATAGTTCCTTTGTATAATTAGCACTTGTTGTGTGTATTGCCTCTTCTTGCTGAATCACTGAATATGCCTCCTCAATTGTAAGCTACTTTAGACAAACGTGTTTACTAAATGTAAATGTATAGCTCATATTGAAGTCTGTGT